TCAAACTTCAAACAGTGACGATTCATTTCTCAAAAGCAATACGTTTGTTCATACTTTACGTACGCGCATTGAAATATGGGTCGCGTGGTGATTCTCAAAATGCGCGCTGATATTCCACTGTGAATGCTTAATTTAATATCTTATGTTCGGTATTAGGTATGGCCATGTCGTGCTGCTATTCCACCATAATGTATGATCAAACGTATAGGTGTTCTTCTTCTGTAGTGCGTGTGTGGTATGTAGTGCTACCTTTATTTTCGTGTTTTCGAGAAATCACCCCTTTGATAGCAATGATTTTCAATGATTGGTAATTTTCAAAATATTATACGAGACGGCATAAAAACATTTTGTGATACTACGTTTAATGCAACTCATAACAAATGTGATAAATGTGCAATTACACGATATTTTAAAAAAAAGTTGCTGAGTCATTCCATTTACGACATACTCTCTAATGGGTATAGGTAATGAGGAATATGCTACGTTTGCTCAAAGGTTAAAAAATAAATTGTCTATTTGGTATTATACATATATACGGTCATAACAAAAGTTGCTGTTCTTGTTCTTTCGTAACTTGAATCTAAAGTGTTATTCTTTTTTTCGAATGTTTGGTATTGATGCCTTTATTGGCTGTTTAAAGGAGTCCAATTACCACTATAATTTTTCTTATCCACGAGAAGGGCATGAAATTGTCTGGTATGAAATAGATATTCACCCGACTCTTGATCTTGAAATTATCTCTCTACTTAGCTATTGCAACATTTTGGAGGCCCTTTTTCGAATTGTTTTGGAGATATGCCGCTTATAAACTAATTTACGAGCTCTAAGTCATTATTTTCATTAAAATATATATCCACGAATCGGTTACAAGTAATGATGGATCATTTTAGCCTATCCCTAGTCAATCGCTGTCTTTCCAGAACGCACTTTTTTATTGCAATCAAACTTAAGCTCATCGGAAGACATGATAACGATTAAAACACTTCATCCAAACCTATTTTTTTGAAACACGGCCGGAAACTTACAAATAACTTGCGAAATTGCGAAAGAAGGCAATGTTCACAACCATGCATGAATGTCTATCTAAGAGAACAAGGTGTATCAGCGAATGTAAAAATAAATGTAAAAAAGAAGGGAAATTTACGATATGTTTGGTATTACGTATGGCGGAGTCAATCGTGCAGCTACTGTTCTAGTACAGTGAAATGGAATTCAAAATGTATTTGTTTATTTCCGAATGTGTCGTAGTGCTGCCTTTATTGGCGGTTTCGAGAAATCGCCCTTTCAAAAACGATATTTTTTTAAATTATGAAAAGAATCCACAAGGAGGCGTAAAATAATTTCTTGTTGTTTTATACTTTCCGCAACTTATTCCAAGTTCAATTAAAGTACAGTATTGATTTAGGACCAGGAGAAAAATATATTCGATTATTTATCGAGTAAATTTAGTTGAAATACCAAACCGTTTTTAAATATGTTACGTCTGCATTGTTTATAAAATTGAAAATTATACACTATGTTTGGTATTATATATGGCCAAATCAAAACGAGCTGCTACTGTTCTGACATAATATAAAAAATCTATAAGGTATATGCTTTTCTCAGAATGTGTCGTAATGCTGCCTTTATTGGCGGTTTTCAAGAATTCGTCACTCCAAAAACGGTATGTTTAGGAAATTGAAAAAAATATATAATAGGGCGTAAGGACATTTTATGTGGTTTTATACAATTCACAACTTATTCCAAGTTTAATTAACGTACAGTATTGATGTATGACCAAGAGAAAAAAGTGTTTGATGAATTACCAGTAAATTTAGTTGAAATACCTAACCGTTTTTAAATATGTTACATCTACATAGTTGATAAAATTAAAAATTATACGCTATGTTTGGTATTATATATGGCCAACTCAAAACGTGCTGCTACTGTTCTGACTTATTAAAATCGAATCTATAAGGTATCTGCTTCTCTCCAAATGTGTCGTAGTGCTGCCTTTATTGGCGGTTTTCGAGAAATCGCTATTTCAATAACGATAATTTTTTTAAATTTTGAAAATAATCCACAAAAGGACGTAAAATGCTTTTTGGTATTTTATACTTTCCGCAACTTATTCCAAGTTTAATGAACGTACAGTATATATGTATGTCCAAGAAAAGAAGATGTTTGATAATTTATCTAGTAAATTTAGTTGAAATACCAAACATTTTTTGAATATGTTACATCGGCATTGTTTATAAACGTTTGAATACACGCTATGTTTGGTATTATATATGGCCAAGTCAAAACGTGCTGCTACTGTTCTGACATAATAAAATCGAATCTATAAGGTATCTGCTTTTCTCCGAATGTGTCGTAGTGCTGCCTTTATTGGCGGTTTTTGAGAAATCGCTATTTCAAAAACGATCATTTTTCGAAAATTTGAAAATAATCAACAAGAAGGCGAAACATAATTTTCCGTTATTTCATACTTTCCGCAACTCATTCCACGTTCAATGGACGTACAGTATATATGTATGTCCAAGAGAAAAAGATGTTTGATAAATTATCTAGGAAATTTAGTTGAAATACCAAATCGTTTTTAAATATGTTACGTCTGCATTGTTCATAAAGGTTTGAATACACGCTATGTTTGGTATTATATATGGCCAAGTCAAAACGTGCTGCTACTGTTCTGACATAATGAAATCAAATTTATAAGGTATCTGCTTTACTCCGAATGTGTCGTAGTGCTGCCTTTATTGGCGGTTTTTGAGAAATCGCCCTTTCAAAAACCATATTTTTTTAATAACTTCGAAAAAAATCCACAAGAGGGCGTCAAATCATTTTTTGTTATTTTATGATTCGCCGTCTTATTGCAAGTTTAATGAACATACAGTTTTGATGTATGACCAAGAGAGAAAAGTGTTTGATGAATTATCCAGTAAATTAAGTTGAAATACCTAACCGTTTTAAATATGTTACATCTACATAGTTGATAAAATTGAAAATTATACGCTATGTTTGGTATTATATATGCCCAAGTCAAAACGTGCTGCTACTGTTCTGACATAATAAAATCGAATCTATAAGGTATCTGCTTTGCTCCGAATGTGTCGTAGTGCTGCCTTTATTGGCGGTTTTTGAGAAATCGCTATTTCAAAAACGATAATTTTTCGAAAATTTGAAAATAATCAACAAGAAGGCGAAACATGATTTTCCGTTATTTCATACTTTCCGCAACTCATTCCAAGTTCAATGGACGTACAGTATATATGTATGTCCAAGAGAAAAAGATGTTTGATAAATTATCTAGGAAATTTAGTTGAAATACCAAACCGTTTTTAAATATGTTACGTCTGCATTGTTTATAAAGGTTTGAATACACGCTATGTTTGGTATTATATATGGCCAAGTCAAAACGTGCTGCTACTGTTCTGACATAATGAAATCAAATCTATAAGGTATCTGCTTTACTCCGAATGTGTCGTAGTGATGCCTTTATTGGCGGTTTTTGAGAAATCGCCCTTTCAAAAACGATAATTTTTCGAAATTACGAAAATAATCCACAAGAGGGCGTCAAATCATTTTTTGGCATTTTAGGATTTGCACAATAATTCCAAGTAATGAACATACAGTTTTGATGTATGACCAAGAGAGAAAAGTGTTTGATGAATTATCCAGTAAATTAAGTTGAAATACTTAACCGTTTTTAAATATGTTACATCTACATAGTTGATAAAATTAAAAATTATACGCTATGTTTGGTATTATATATGGCCAACTCAAAACGTGCTGCTACTGTTCTGACTTATTAAAATCGAATCTATAAGGTAACTGCTTTTCTCCAAATGTGTCGTAGTGCTGCCTTTATTGGCGGTTTTCGAGAAATCGCCCTTTCAAAAACGATAATTTTGTGAAATTTATCAAAGAATCCACAAGAGGACGTAAATTTTTTTTCGGTATTTCAGACTTTTCTCAACTTATTCTAAGTTTAATAAAGTGCATTATTGTTGTGTGACAAAGAGAAAAATATCTTCTTTGATGAACTATCCAGTAAATTTTGTTGAAATACAAAATCAGTTTCAAATTTGTTGTATATACATTGTTTTTAAAATTGAAGAATATACGCTATGTTTGGTATTATATATGGTCAAGTCAAAACGTGCTGAGACTGTTCTGACATATTGAAATCGAATCTTTGAGGTTCTACTTTTCACCAATGATGTTGCAATGCTGCCTTTATTGGAGGTTTTCATGAAACGACCATGTTACACGACGGATATTCAGTCATTTTTAAACATCTCTCAAAGAATTATAAAAAAATTTTGTGTACTGTAACAGTCGCTTTAGCTTGTTTACTATATATTAACAATACGAGGAGTGTAGTTAATGATTGTTTTGCTTTAATTGCTATTGTGAAACTAATCAAAATATACACTTTCTTTTAAAAATCATTGGGAACTTTTAATTTTACGCGTGGGTATTTTCTGCGATTCTGTCAGTCACAATTTCGTGTTTTGCTGCTAGCTTCACATAGGTGTCAATTGAATGTAATAGAAAATTTGATTAAACGTGGAGGTCGGGGCGCCAATTTTATAGTTTGCCCCGGGCGCAAAATATGCTGGCTACGCCTCTGCAGAGAAGTGTCAACGTTTGGCACCCAGGGCTTCGCCGACCCTCGCGTGGCACACAAATTTATTGAACCGTGTAATATATTTACAGTCATGGCAATGGGACGCCGAGCAAGATGCGTCTAACGATAACGATGTAACGTTATACATTTGAGTTACTACAAGGGCGCGGGTATGCAGATACACAGAACTCAGATATACTAGTCTTTATTGTAATGAAGAAATTATACTTTTATGGATTGTATTGTTTCACTACTATAAATCAGTCAAATCTGTTTATAATGAGTTACCATTCAAATTACATTATTTATAAAAACGCGAGTTGGATACACAATTCTGCAATTAGTTGTTAGGCTTTACTTTAAACTTTCACCTATAACTTACAGGACTATATTAAATTCTTATAGACAGATACAGTTATAAAAAATTTAATTCAAAAAATTTATTTTTTGAAAATTTTGATTGAGTTTTTACCATGCAGAATGGCTCCTGGCCAGGATGATTTTGGTGAAATGTTTGATGTTCTGGATTTGTCAAAACGTGGGTATTTAACTCTTGAAGAAGTTAAGAATTTTTATCAGTCTCTTTTCTACAAGCCGGTACATGATTTACTAGTAAGTATTCTATAGCAATTCTATATCTTCACTCTAAATCAGATTCATATTTGTACAAGCCATTTTTATTTCCTATTTCTGAAGAGCACCTGTAAAAGTAGTCACTGATACTTTAAAAGCTACTACTTATGGAAAGGCCTGAGACTTTATGGCTCAATTCTTACATCTGTACATTCTAGGAGATATGGTGGTTATAGCTTATTAAGTAAAAAGATGAATGTAAGAATGCTTTTATTATATGAATAAGTTGTCTAAGCTTTATAGAAAGTTAAAAATAAAAATGGAAAAAAAGTATCAACAAAGTACAGAAAAAAAATTTACTGGCGTTTTTGTTTCAATTGTAGATTAAGTCCGTCCTTCACAATTATGGAGGAAATAGAGATGATTCAACCTGCATTAAAAAGGGTTTTGAAAAAGTTTTATCAAAATTAGAAGAAGCTCGTAACTTGGAAGAGACAACATACTGGGATTTTATTGCTTTGGACAGAGATGGATCTCGAGTTGTTTCTGTGAAGAGTTGTATTTTGTTGGCCAGGTACGACATCAACACATTTCGCTTTGTGAAATTCACTTCCAGTTACCTCTTTTTTTATTTACAATGACATTTAGATTTCCTAATATATTACTTCGGATTGCTATGGTCCCCAGTGAGTAAGAAGTGATGAAAAATTCATCTTCTCTCACTATTATTAAATTTATTTGAAAACTGGATTGCCTGATAATCCATGATGACAAATGTTTCATAAATCATAATAAATTTCGAAACATATTGTCTTCGTGCCTTGCTTTGATAGATGGTATTTCACTGTTACTAAAATGCTTCAATTTCTTCATATTCTAAAACAGGTGTTCTCAAACTTTTAGTGTTATTGGGCCCCTGAAGAGGTTGACTATCATTTAGGTAGCCCCCCAATAAATTTTTAAAAATGAAAACAAAAAAAACAGATTGTAACTTATCAATTAATGTTCCTGAGTAAATTAAAATTACTTTAATTAATGACTCCGATATATTTATTGTTGTCAAATGTTATTAATGCCGTTATTTCTTCTTTTGACAGTTACAAAATTAGCCAAGTCAGTATCTTTATAAGTAAACTAATAGCACTTTGAGTACCTATCTTCTAGAACAGGGTTTCCCAAACTGTATAAATTACACGGCTCAATAAATTCGTGCCAAGCGAGCACTAAACTGGAAATGCCTATATCTGGGTGCCAAATGTTGACACTTCTCTGACGAATTATCTTGGGGGTTCATGATGACTGCACAAAAGGTCCCCATCGATACAAAATGAGTCTGATCGATCTTTAATGATTGATTTCAATCAAAAAACCATTGCATCTTTTTGATTGAGCGTTGCGGACGACGCGCGGCGGTGTGGCTCATCGTGATAAACGTTAGGAATACGCTCGCCACTGCACCTCTAATTTCTCTGCGTGGGGTTCGCAGGTTCGAATCCCATGCTGGATGGTTATGTGCGAGAGGATTGCTGGACTCCTCGCCGCCGTAGGGTGGTTCACGTAACCGCTGGTCGGTTACGGCTTCCTCCACCGTCAAGTTCATGCTTCCGAAAAACAAGTAACTAACTAATCCCATACCCGACATGGAATGGTAACCGGACGATAGGCCGTGGTTCGCCATATGGATAAGCCGTTTTATCGGCTTTCCTCTCCCCCGGGATAAATATGTAAATCATATCCTATCCTATTCATTGCTTTCAGAAAGGCAAATACAATTTTATTGCCTTTTGGAACGACCTACATACATTGCCAGGCGGCAAGTTGGTTATGCACAGAAATTAATAAGGCATAGGGTTGGGGGTTCGTCAAAACTAAGATTCACAAACAGGGGTCCGCGGCCCAAAAAGTTTGGGGAACCCTGTTCTAAAAGATTCACAAAAATTTTATAGGATTTTCTCAGAAGTTTGGTACTACAGAATAACTTTTTCTTATTATTTTCTGTAAATATTTATTGTCGTTCTACAGTTGATGTAGTTTAATTATTTTTAAATCAATTTCCATATTCAGAACTGTGAATCCAGAATTTTCTGTTCAAGCGTGGCATGATTGGCTAAATTCTCGTCATGAACCAAATTTGCCAATTTCCTGGCAAGAATTCCAGAAGTACATGTACTTTATTCCTGGTGAGTTTGTAATCTCAATAACTTTCCAACATTTCCAGTTTCAAACTCATCTCATTGATGAGTGAGTATGAGTGATTGACCACCATATGTTCTTTGTCGCACATGAATCCATTGAAAATATACTCAATATTTAATATATAAATATAATAATAATATTCTAAATGTTTTAGAATGTATTGAAAATGATAGAATAGCCAAATTTGGCCATCTATTTTGGTTGCCACCTGAGGTATAGGATTTTTGTTTATGCTAAACCAACATTGAGAAATGCTGAAGCCTTGTAATTCTACTTTACTTGAAACGTACTAGCAATGTCACCACTAGTAGAATAAAAAAACTTTTCAAATTTACAAAATTGTTGTTACTTCTTCACTCCTTTTTATCATGCAAGTAACCTTCTTTTCTCTCCATATATATATATATATTTGTAAATCATTTTGAATTTTGTTGGCAGATCAAAGACAACAACTTACGAACCAAGAAGATTCATTGGAAGCTGAATTTGTGTTATTATCTGAAAAAGAATCTGACATATTGGATGACAAATATAGTGAATTCAAAGAAATTTTAGAGGCAAATCTCATATCATTTTATAATCTATAATATATAAATATTTGATATTTTAATATCTATTTGAATCTTAGAATGAATCGCACAGACTAAAGATTAAATTTAATTTTGTGATAGCAGAAGTTATTGATTTGAATATTCAATCCCAACTGATAGCAATTGTTTTCTTTATTAAAAGTTTTTTAGATTGTGTTGTCGCATTAAACTAAACAATCCATTCACCAATTTATAACTTGACAACTTGGAGAATGTTCAAAACAAAGTGACTATTTAAATATGTTCAAATTAAATCTGTTCAATGATCGAATTCTTCATTTTGAGGAATATTTTAGAAAAGTTGTATTTGAAAGTTATCATTTTTAGTATGAACAGCGTAATCTAGAACTTAGTGTATATTTCATATTGAAAATATTGATCTACTTATTACAATGTAGTTAGAACAGAAGAATATTTGATTTTAGCCATCTTTGATTATACTCCTGCTCACAAATTACTGTATTATTTTAGGATGATGATGATTATGTTGCCCAATTACAACAAGATCGTGATGATTATCAGGAGAATGTAAGATACGAATCTAACAGACTGCTCAATCGGTGAGTTAATATAAAACATTGTTACATTGTTGAAGAAATGTACTATCTATCTTATTCCTCATTAATCATGCCATTATTTCAAATTTTCATTTGTTATTGAAACTTTACTGAAAAATTCATTCTATAGGTGGAAAATTGGTGGAGCTGAGGCTGTTATTTATGATGATGGAACAGAAATGGCTCGTCCATCTGTTGTATCGGATGCTAAAAACACCCTGACTATTTCTGATTTACTCACTGCCTTGGATGTCAAATATGATATGCTCCGGGAAAAGGTTATGATTGAGATGGCTAAAGCAGAATCAGGTAATTGATTCAAATCAGTTGATAAGTTGAAACTGACTTGTCCTTTTCATCTATTAATTAGAAGAAACTTTTTATAATTTGGGAACATTTTTTGTGAAAGTGCCATGTTTTTTTATGTCATTTCACTCTTATAAAATCAGTCTTTTTAAGAAAAAATAGTTCCGGCTTTATTCAGGGAATCCTTGATCTCTCTTAAAGCTTTTTTATGAATTCTTTCAAATCCCCAACAAATTCACAACTCCAAAGCTACTGTACTCTGAAAATGCTGATTTAGCTTCTTCGAGTATTGTGACAATCATTATTTACTGATACCCCAATCACCAATAATCTATAGCTCTTTGGGCTTGATCAGTAGTTTCTTCCAACTTAAGTCTTAGAAATCTATCTGCTCCCAGCTTAGGGATCAATAGTAGCTGCCATGCTTTTTTTAAACATTAAAATACTCAACAAATGATGATTGATTTTTTTTAAATATTCATGTTAATCGAGTGCTTTTTTTCTAATCAACAAAGGGTAATCATTCAATTTTTTCAAGGATTAGATGGAACTGAAATAAATTCAAAGATGATTGACAAGATTTTGATCGATATTCGAAAAAGAGAGAAAAAGGCTCGAAAATCTAAGACTTTGGATGAAATGTTGTCTCTACCTGGATCTAGTTTGCAGTACATGTAAGAATATTAAATTTGGATTGATTTAAACAGGGTTAAATCCAAAAGTAGTTTTGCCACTTTTCTTCAGAGCTTAGCTACAAGAATGCACGAAAAAGGGAATCCATTTTCAATATAGTTTGAAAATTGATCAAGTTTTCAATGAATCTAATATAGTAGTAAGAGGGTTCATTTTTGCAGCTACATTCTTTATTGCACATTCTTCTACTGTGCTTATGATGCCCCCAATTTCTCAGCAATGGTGGTTCGGCCTACCAGCAGATCTTGGAAATACTATAATATAATTTTCATTGAAGTATACCATAAATCAATAGTTCAATTCCGATTTAAAGTATGAGTATTGTTTAATATTCAATTGAAACTTCAATCAGTGTCTACATACCTCGTGATTCATGTTGTGTGTATTGTGGCACTGATATAGCATCTAAGCCAACACTGAGCATACTGGTCAAGATGATTCTTCCTAGGTAGCACTTTAATAAGGTGATATTCTCCTTTTCAGGTTCACTGCTATTGGCGTGATGGGTGAGATGGCGGACGCTTATTTAGCGAAATGGGAAAAAGCAGAACAACGTTTTAAGTCCCTCCGAGCTCAAGGAAAATCAACAAAGGATATCAATAAAATATATGAGAGAGAAATAATGAATGAAATGAGAGGTATGTGCTGGCAATTATGCTATCTTTTTTGGTTTGCTGTAAACATGTTTTTTTTTATATTAGCTGTACTCAATGATCATGGATGCCGTTCTGCCTAGGCGAGGTTTGTCATTGCTGATCTAGATTGATCTCATGATCTTGGCGATTATCCCAAATGTAACTTGGTTTTGTAATTTTCTGTTAGTATAGAATAGATAGTCTTATAAATATGAAGATCAATTGTAAACTTGTTGTGTGCCTACAGCCATCTGCCTTATTCTGCTATTTTCTTTACTCGTTTGGAAATATTGGTATTTATCATTTTTTTCATCTTTTTATCATTTTGCATTGAAATATTCGAAGTCATTTTGAATTGCATCATAGAAATAGAATTATACAATCCAATTATACCCTACCAAAATTAAAACATTTTATATAAAACGGTGAAACAGGAAAGTAGATACCCCCAAATTCAATGACTAATACGCTAAAACTTGTTAATTCGCACAAGTTAATTAACTATGTTCCGCAAACTCCAACTAATGCCCAGCCCTAATTACGGGTTTGGTGACTGTTTGTGTTAACCAAGTGAATACCCCTGCCCATAGGCTTCTGCCCCTTTATACAATTTGGTGTAAAGTAGGCGAACAAAATTAATTACCTCCATTCCATATTAGTACACATACTTATGGAGTGCCAATTCAAGTCATTGAACCCCCAAGTTGAGTCTGTGTCACAATAGTTTACAACAATAATTTCAACTAACGACAGGGAAATAGATAAATAAAACGTGAATCTTCCGGCCTGCGTTAAATTTAAAAAACAACATTATTTTGAAAACCCAGTTTCCCAAAGATTAGTTTCAGCAATCCTTTTCTTCCCCTTTAATATAAAATGTTCACATTTTTATAGTTACATATGATTGTAATTTTATGAATTGCAAAAAAAATAATCCTGTATCTTTTTCAGGATCTACTACTAGTGGAGAACTTCTCATTTACTTTGCGAGAAGACAAGAAGAAGAAAAGGAATATTTACTTCGAAGTCTTCGCAATATTCCACCAGTGTCAGTTGATGCCGAGAGATTGTCAGTTTATGCATCCCTTCATCGTCAATGTTTAAGAATTGAACAAAACGAATCCTTTGAAAATGCAGCCATGTCAGCTTGCCTGACAGAAAGAAAGCAGATTGCTGATTTTGAAAGGTAATATTGTTTTGAGTTCTTAGAATGGAAAGACTAAGAATGACCTCTCCCTATACATTTTAATTTTCAAATATTTGTCTTCGAATACAAATATTTTAAATTGGTCAATTATAAAGAGATTATTGAATTTTCTGGTCAGTCGCCATTTGTGTACGAATATGGAGGTAACTAATTTATTCGCCTATTTTATATCAAGTTGGGGGGAGGGGTATATTCACTTGGCTAACAGAGACAGTTCTCGAACTTGTAATAGAACTAAAATAAGGAAAATCGGAATAAACTTATGGCCTAACCTGGTACACACACTACGGGAGTACAATATTTTTTCCACCTATGAAGGCAATGAAAGGCTGTTTCAAATTTTATTTTATAGATCTAAGTTGATCTATTCTATTTACTTATACCTGACAGCATTTGTGATGAAGAATGAAAGTTTAGTTATGATCCAATGCTCTGGATATGTTACTAGTTTTAAAAATATTTCATCTATTCCATAATGCTCAGAAATTGGTACTTCCATAGTGTGTGTACCAGGGAAGGGTTAGGCCCTCATTTTATTCAGATTTTCCCTATTTTAGTTCTATTGCGAGTTAGGGGACTGTCTGTGTTAGCCAAGTGAATATACCCCCTGCTCATAGTAATCAGTCCCATGTCACAACTTGATGTAAAGCAGCCAAACAAAATTAGTTACCTCCATATTGGTACACACACTTCTGGAGCACCCAGAAATTTTTGATTACAGTATATGTCTCATTTTTTTCAGCAATTAATAATGAATAATAAATACATTTTCTAGGTACAACCCTGACCGTTCTCGTCAAGAGAAACTGTCTGTATTTCAACTTGAAGAAGGAAACAAACACAGTTTAGGACAAAACATACCTTCTCCTGCAAAACCTGATGTATCTCACAGCAAAAATTTGGGACTTGTGGACTCTTGGTTGGAAGTCACAAGACTTCTTGTACAAAAGCATGTTGCAGAAAGAATGGTGTGCACATTTCATAATTATTTTGTTCAATTTTTTGCTATCATAAACTGTTTCACTGTTGCATGATTTCATGGAAATTTCATTAATAATAAGTTTTGGTATTTATTAAAGCTTATGGTTCACTTTCTGTTGGGAAATGGAATTCAAACAAAAATGGGGACTTTGAAAAATATCTCCCAGAAGGAACTTCAATCTATGCGTCATGATCTTACTAAACAACATGATCATCTGAAATCATCATTTGCTAACAAGGGATCTGCAATTGAAAAAGTAATTTTTTCAAATATTATGCATATGTTTTTAAAGTTTAAATGTGCGAATCCGAATTCAATATGTTATTTTACAAACAAGCTCAGTGGTTGGTGAGTACGCTTTCCATCACGGCTTCCTTTTGAAGTTTCAGACGATCGAATCTCTCAGGCATAATTATGTGTTAGTAAATTGCTTGACTCTCCGTTATCTTTAATTGAAATTTTGACTCATAGGTTCTAAAATTTGAAACGAAAACATTCTGAGACATGCAAAAAGAAATAGTATTGATATCTCAAAGCAAGTAAGTTTCAATAATAGGTCGAGATAGCTAAATCTTATTCCATGATAGGAAACGAACTTAATCGATCGAAAGTATTTCTATTATGGCTTACAAAGCCACCTGACTGTCTTTTTGATTATTCTAGGAACAACAGAGGAATGCACATTTTGATGTTCTTACATCGGCATCTGCATTATATTTGGAGAATATTAGACGCAGTGTCAGCAGTTCTAGTAATACCAATTGTTTATCCATTATTCTTGCAAGATTGCAAGTACTTCAGGATATCGAGGGTGAAAACATCTTTGCAGCAATGAAAAAAATGGTGAGTTGTATTGTTAAATATTTTCATTACGGAATCCTCATAAATATTGTTACTATTAATTTATTATCGTTATCATTATTGTTTTTATTGGATAAATAATTGTAAAATTTAATCTTAGCCCAATAGTAAGTCAATCACAGTCATAAAGTATACAAGAAACAATGCATATCAAAACATGTTTCATAACTTGGTATACAATTACATTACGTCGTCGCAGTTATTAATCTAGGTATGAAATGTACATTTTATTATACTGTTTTGCCAAATTGTGTCAACTAGTGGGTTTAAAGCAAAGGGACTATAAACAGTCATTTTGGTTTGAAGCTTATAAATATTTCGCATCATCACTCTAAAGCAGGGGTTCTCAACCGGGGGTTCACGAGAAGATTTCTAGGGGTACTTGGAAGACAGTCAATTTTCTGTGTGTTGCTGTTTTTAATGGGCTATACTTTTTATTACCTACCAGAGGAAAATGCGTGCCAATTGCAACATAAATTTTCACTAATCTTGCGTTGTTGTGACTGTGACCCAACAATGTAAAATTCGCAACTTTGCAGGCAAATTGAATTCTCAAATTGAAAGACAGCGCCTGCGAGCATTGTAGAAAGTGATTATGCTTATTGAAACTTGGGAAAGATTTTAATAAATCATTTGTTAGGCAGACGACAAGGGCAATAATATCAACGCAAAGATTTATTTTAGTTACATATGGTCAATAAATTGTTGATGCAAAAAATTCTTAGTCAATATACCACAACTTTTTTTGATGTCTGATTACGGGGGTTCGCGTTGGTTGTTTTGTGACTCGGGGGTACTTGACAGAAAAAAGGTTGAAAACCCCTTCTCTAAAGCTGTAGCGCATCCAGAGAGAAATTGCACAGCTGATTGACAATTTAGGTCGTGAACATCGGCCTTATGTTGGTGAACTATATTTCCGTGAATTAATTCTCCCTAGCTCACGAGTTTAGTGTATTTCCTCCGCCGGAATTGTGCGTTCAGTGTGAAAAATTTCTTGCTATCATCTGTGACGAAGGGCTACAAAGCATTGAATTCGCAACTCAAATTTCCGACTGCAAATATGGGAGTGTCATAAAATACCTAACATATAATGAAAAACATCATAAATACTGTTTTAGGAAGCAGACGCAACAGATTGAAAACGCTATTTTGAACGTTAATCGCCTAAATTTGTTTGTAATCGGTCGGTAAGTTTACAATATATTCACCGAAGTTTAGCCATTCAATTGTCCTTATTACAGCCGGGTCGCACTAGATTTTTCGCCGGGTTATGATGATGATATAAAAGGTTGTTCAATAAATCATTTATCCTACTAAAATAAATTGTACTCATTTGGATTTTATTGCCGACCTTGGGATTCTTACAAATATTCATTAAGTGGTAGTCAGTGTTTCAAGAACAACTTAACTTTGACGAAATCCCAAAATCGCAAATATATACTTATCAAATCTAATTAGAATCGGGGAAGTTTTTTTATTTATTTTTTATTGGCGCAGATTGCCGCTTTATTTTAGATTATTAATGCTTTCATTTTATCATAGTAGACACGGCGAGTTTCGTTAAACACGATTAAAAGAATATGGCCATCGCCATGGATTGATTATATTACACAACAACAAAAAAAACGTTATTTGCCGAAAGCTATTTTCAACTAGTGTAGTAAACTCGTATTCGCGGCGACTGTTTCAGAAGCCGTCGCAGGGAATTTTCGTTTTTAACTTTGAACCCCCTCGTTCAAAAAACATGGCTGCGCGCCTGCTAGGATCAAGACTTTGAAAAAACAGCTACAAATATGTTTCGATATTCTAATTTACAACTCGTTTTTTCTACACCCTGGGTGAGGTCGTGGGTTGTTCATTCACCCCCACAGCGGTGAACACAGTTACAGTGTTTCTATGTGCACGTAATGAGATGTCTTGGAAATATTATTAAAAAAAATAAGATTGAGAATATTTTAATCAGTCACAGAAGGATTCGACTCCTGTGCTGAAGACAAGTGAAGACGATCAAGTAAATAATCTTGTGTTTGATAGTTCGTGAAGTCTTTTGAGAGTCTGTGTTGTTTGTTACGGTTTTAACTAATTTTTGAGCATAGAATTCTCTTCCTAAGGTTTGGTACATTTTCTGGTTAGTACTGCACACATCAGAACACTTGTTGTTTTGTTTTTCACTATTACAACTCCTTTCAATCTTTTACTTTATGAAATTAGGTAAATTTAATGATATTTTTGTCATATATTAAGAAAATTATTCTGACAGATATATGAATCTATTTCTGGCATGGGCAAACTATGGCCCACGCTACGGCCCGCGGGCCAAATCCGGCCCGTTGGGTGATTCAATATTGCCCGCCTGATGCTGTAACAACCAAACTTAACCAAAGTTTGATGTTTTAGCTATAATATGGCTCGAGGAAATTGTTGAGATTGCGATTTAGTTTTGGCACGAGGCTTATTGTTTTCCTCTTTTTCTTTTGTAACACTGTAAATATTGTTCATGAAATGTAACTTTTTAAGTCACACTTACATGGTCAGCCAGTCTAGGTTGGCAAAATTTTTGGCCCCGTCCTGCAGGGTTCCCTCCCCGAGCCTGCAGCTCCAACAGAGTAATTCATTCAACTCAATATGTGCACGATTTCGATTTGAGGTGATTTATTGCGAGGATTCGTCTAAAACTCTTCTGATTAAGATTTTTGTAACATTTTTTATTATCATTTTATGACTTGATCTGTATTTGATTGCAACATACTTGGTGTGTTTTGAGTTCTGACAACACTTCCATAACGATGATATGTTTGTATGATAGGTCAAATGTCTAGATTGTGTTTGAATTAGCTTTGTGTTTCTTACGGTAGTTTTATTATAATTTTGGAATTCGAGAATTGTAGATTTAAATTATAAGATTCAGATTCTGTCTGTTTTATAACATCAAATTATCAATATTATATCAAGCATGAATCATACATGAAACATAACGCCTTCTATTCATTTCAATACAATCCATAATATTTTTAATGTTTTAGTACAGACGAAGCATCTCTGGCCCTTGCAAGGCACTGATATATATTATTGGATCGCCGTGTTTGTACCACCGATGTCCGCACCGAAATATTTTATTATTTTAGAATTCATTCTTATAATTAGTATCAATTTCGAACAATTTAAATTTATTGTGCCTCAAATTCATGATAACGACAAATTTTACACGTAAAAAATTACAGAATATTGGCGCATCTAGCGATTTAAATCGCATCTTTTTCAAATTCCATTAACTTTGTATTTTGCTTAAACTTATCTACGGATACTTGTTTTGAACGAGCATGGAACAGAGATACTCACCTATGAGCAATTCTGATAGGTACAAAAATGATGTTTGGCTCATACCAGATGCCTCTCGCCTCAATCGTCGTAATAGAAGCCGTCAAATATTTACTTTTCCAACAATTTATTAATCGGGCTATGACGACTGTTATTCGGTCGCTTCTGACGACAATAATATTTATCTATTGTGACGTTCGTCGTGGCTTTTTCGTGAATTGAAGTTTCACAATTTCAGGCGTCGCAGTTACATTTTGTTTTTACCGTAAGTAATTTCAACGAAGAATTTATTCATTTTTCGGAGACTGCGCTTTACCGTAATTATTTATATAAAATAAGAAAATGTAATATGTGAACAACTCGTTCAACGTTGTTATTTATGAACCTGTCGTTTTGCAGTTTGTCACTTTCAAAAAAATACGCAAACCAACTATTATTTAATAGTATTAAAAATTCGGGTGAAGAAATATATAAAAATGAGGCGTATACAATATGGCTGGCCAAAATTTAATATTTTTTTCGCACCCAACCAAATAATAGAATACTATTGCGCAATCCTAAATCTGTCTTCGTTGTACAATGAAAACTCCCACTTCGATCCTGTGATAACACAGGTGCAATTACATCTAAAATACAGCTGATTTTTTTACGTAACTATGTTTCCGGAGGTTTAATAGTAAATCACAAGCCTCATCGAATCGAAAATTAATTATAATCGGGACGTTTTCCTAATAAATGAACTCGTTTTTTTTCTGACTTGCGACAATTTATTGTGTATCGTAACAAAGCGCATTACCGAAACTTGTTTGATATCTGACTTTGGTTGGATCTAAGCGAAACGATTGAATCGCCACCTTGACCACGATCAATATCACTCCCCATTAATTTGACCAATTGTTTTCAAGAAATTTACTGAATTGCGTCTAATCTCTAATTTAAAAGTAAACAATATCTTATCAAATTTTGATTTCACTTCCGTTCGCGAAATGCAGGACTGATAGTTAGATAGTTAGGCGCGGGATTGGCTGGAATAAACGCGTTGCTGCCTTCTAGGCTGTACATAGCCAAAATTTATCTCTGTTCAGATATGTGCCACATGTAAATGTTTATGATATTGTTTTTTTCGTGCCTTTCCTCCCAACAAGGCTTCATTCATATTGTTGGCATAGAATATTGTTGGGGTATCTAGATTCAAGTTGGAGAACTTGGCTTAGCGGCTGGCGAGTTTATTTTTTGTTGGAAATGCAGACCCAACCTCATTTTAATTAAACACCAGGAAATGCCGCACATTTTAGAATTTATGAACACTATGACAAATTAAAATTCTTATTTATTTACTGTATATTTTTCTATTTACTTAGGATGGTTCAGATATTTATCATCTTCGTAAAGAAATTTACAGATCGATCAGAGATGAAAGTTTGGAAAATATATCCAACCTTGTTCTTGGTGCTATCAAAATGTCTGCTGAAGAAAAAGAACTTGTTGATCTCATCCTTGCCAAGTATGTAATGAACAATAATATATTTTTTAATGTACTATTGTACATTACATCATTATCCAAATCAATTTGGAAAAATGGTAAAAATTAACCCACGGATTTGAGCCACAATTGACACCTCCCATAGAAAATTAGGTAAATTATTATTAAAAAAATTATTCCACGTTCGAACACGCGAGAGACACCGGCCATTTACGTCATACCAATATCGATTCTCCTTATAACATGTACCAAATCTTGTGCTCTGGTTGACATCGATGTTTTTGTTGTGATGGCCAATGAATTATAGATGCTAGACAGAAATATGCCATTGGTCAAGCTACTCATGTAACCATCTAATTGCACAAATCTGAAACAAAAAGTAATAAAATTGACGGATATTTATTTCCGTATTCAACGTATAATTGCAAATTGGATGAGAAGCTGTTGTTTGCCACATGATATACCTAGTCATCTCATCGTCATTTCTCCCCCGAAATAAATATGAGAACCATATCATATCTGATTCTTTTACTATTCCGGAACGATTAGCCATTATCTTCCATAGGTATGACAAACTTCGTGCAAAATTATTTGATGGGTTTATTAAAAAGAAAAATATTGCGAACGACGATGATCGACAACAATTATTTGAGAAACTACGAATCGGAGAAGAGAAACACAGACTTGCTGGAAATCACGCTAAATTAGCAAAACTCTGCAAAGACACTTTTCAGGTTCACTTTTAATTTTTTCTTTCGAGTTTGACAACGGTAATGAAGAATATAGTTTATTAAAGTGATTTGTGAATATAAACTTTTTGAGGTATTCCAGAAGTATGTGCACCAAGATGCCGGACACCGGAACGTTGTATGTGTACCAGGTAAGGGTTTTAGGTACAAATACTACAGGAGTCACTTGGCTAGTCACCGAATTTGTAACAGAACTAAAATAAGGAAAATTGAAAGAAAATTATGGCCTAATTTTAACCTGGTACACATACAACGTTCCGGTGTCCGCCATCTTGGTGCACATGCTTGAAAAGCAATGAAAATGGATGAAATTGTACCTCATTGACCATAATTTGACACAAAGCTTAAGTTTGATTACACAAAATTTATTTTCATTATTTTATAAACAGATTCTTAATAATTTAGCTAGTCAAATTGAATATACAGAGTGGTCGCTAGAAAAACAGAAAATTTGTCAAACAGCAATTTATTTTTACAAAGAATAACTTTACGAGGTTGTTTCCTGCCTTCTTTCATGATTTCGGTGTCAAAATAGAAATCAAATAGAACCTAAAAGATATCAACCTAAAACAACCTAGAACCTAGATGAAAAAAAAACGTATCGAAGAAGAAATGAGTAAGCACGCATTTTATTCGTGATCTCATCTGACCTACAATTTTTTTTATATAAGTCTTAATATTTCAAAAGGTGGAGCTTATATCTCACATGCAAAGTTTGATTTTTCAGTCAGATTTGGCAAACTCTTTTCAAATCTCAGGTTTTCACCCCAATGGGTTTGTGTTTGTGTGACACACGTGAAATTCTTTTTGATATAACTGATCCTTTTTGACTGTTTCAATTTTAAGATGATCTTACACTCCATGTCCTGTTTTCAGATAAAGTATTCTTTACAAGAGATTGTTGGTCCTGATCCATCAAGATTTAGACATGAAGCAGAGCATTATTTGGATGAAATTAAGAATTCTGGCAGGAAAAGAAAAGTTGTGGATGAACCACCGGATCTTGGAAACATCTCTGATGATTCTAAACCAAGAGGAAACCTTGTTTCTGAACTTCATCTTAGATATGAAGATGAAGTTGACATGATCTTGGAGAATCTTCGAGAAGCACCACCAAATGATAAGACATTTCTATTGGCAGCAGAAGCAGCATGGCAACAGTGGGAAATGATGAGATTTAATCTTGATGATGAATTTCGTCATGCTGCAATCGGTTTGGGATTGTGCGAAAGAACTAAAATTGGACAAGGCAAAATCAAGTAAGTAGAAATTTCATTTTTATTGTAATGGACAAAGAAATACTATTTACTAATAGTAACAAAGGGATGACAAGATCCATATGACAGATAGTTATACAAAGTGGAAATATATAACAGTCATTTTGGTAGCTTTAATAATTGCATTAAACGTAAACATTGATTTTAAATTCAATTAATTCACAATAAACACTGGGTAAATGAGTTTATGCCTCTTTCTGCATTGTTAAATTATCTGCTTAATAAACTCTCAGAAATGTTTTAATAACAACAATGGGAGCTCCAAAAGAGTCTGTACCAAACTATTTATATGGAGGTAACTAATTTTGTTTGCCTACTTCACATCAAGTTGTGTAAAGGGACTGGAACCTATGGGCATGTGGTATATTCACTTGGCTAAAACAGACAGTCCCTGAACTCGTAATAGAACTTAAATGAGGAAAATTAGAATAAAATTATGGCCTAACCCTAACCTGGTACACACACTACGGGAGTACCCGACTATCAGATTTCCAGTTATAATAGAGATTCGATAAACCCTAATAAAATTTACACCAGGCTTCGACAAGACAACTCTCGATATGTTCAACTCGCTCAAGAAAGGTTGTTGGTGTCAACATCACTCAATACCAAGTCTCTCCAGGGCATGTGTAAGTTTTTAAAATTCTTGTAGAATTTTTGAACATTTTTCTCTTATATTATATTTAAATAAAATTTAATTTGCAGCAAATGATATCGTAAAAGTTGACATAAAAAATGATTTTTTTTAAAAAAGTCGAAATTAACATAAAACACTAACTACCGTACATTTCAAAACTTAAATAAAAATAAAAAGTTGTGGTGTTTTGAAAAATTTTGACGTGTTCATTAAAAATTATATCGTTTATATTAAATTTCAGCTTCATCATCTTCACCTGCTCAATCATCTCTTCGACGAGTTCTTATGTGTCATGCTGGTGATTGGAGGAAGTTGTATGAACTTATTACTGATGATTCTGCTGAGGAATTGAGAGAAGCCGCTGTGTCGATGTCCGAAGATGAACGAACTGCAAGACTCGCTGAAATTAATTCGAAGAGAATGGCATTGGATATTCAATCACCTGGTAGGTGTTAGTAGACATATGCAAATGCACAAATTCTAGTATGTTTAATAGTATTTTTTGTATCATTGTATAATGTAAATTGTTATGTTTGAGAAAGACTTTGGTATGTTTTATATTTAAGCTGTCTTATTGGTTTCCTAAATTCACGATTAAGATGAGACTTCTAGTTAGATTTTTTTTACTTAAATATCCATATTTATCCCAGAGGAGAGCAAAGCCGATAAGACAGCTTCATAATAATTACGGGGAATCACTGCCTCCTGTCCAGTTACCTGTCCATGTTGGATATGCCAGTTATTTGTTGCAGATGGTGGAGGAAGTCTTACATAACCATTGTTTGGTTTTGGTTGAAATTTGATGCAATTCGGATTGCCCCATTTTCTGTGTACTCAAAATCATGAACGATAACATATATGTACCAGAGCCACAATTAATAAGTAAAATTTAATATCATAGTATATTAGATTTATTTGGTACTTTGCACCAAACAGTCTTTACGATATGACTGCTTGCAGAATAACATTCTGTTTGATATGATTAGTTTGAATTCTGATGATCATTGAATGATTATGATTTGTGCTTTATCACAGATTGGCAAGATGATCTTCAAGCTTTACTTGAGGAAGCAGCAGCCATCAAATATGTTTCCAGGATGCAAAACCTTAAAAAACTAAGTGGTGAGGATTCGGGGATCACTATCACCAATTCAGATGTTCATGTATCAATAATGGCTGATTTACAGGAAGAACATGACAAAGATGGTTTCAGATGGTTCCAAAAGGCTTTAGATGTAAGTTGTTGACTTTGATTTGCTGAAGTAATTAAGAATGGAGATTTTTGGTTAAAGGTAACCAGCTACTAGCCGTGACATGGGCAAACTACGACACGTGAGCCAAACCGGCCCATTGGGTGATTCAATCTGGCCCGCCTGATGCTGCCACAACCAAACTAAAACCAAATTTTGATGTTTTAGCTAAAAAATAGCTCAAGAAATTTGTTGAGATTGCGATTACATTTAGTTTTGTCATATGGTTACTGTTTTCCGCTTTTTCTTTTGTCACACTGTAAATATGGTTCATAAAATGTAACATGTTATGTCACTCACACTTACATGGCCTGCCAATCTAGGTGTTCGGTGGTCCAAAAACCTTACTCACCCCTGTACTAGCCACATTACTATGTCTGGAATGTTGAACATTTACATTTTGAAAAGCTGTTTCCACTAAGCTCTGAATCTCTGATACATAAGGAGCTGATATATATTGGAAAGATCAAATTTTTTTTGACTCATTGTTGCTCAACCAATTTATTTCTATACTGGGTGACGGGGTACATATGGGCTGCATATAAAAAATGTTATATTTGCACCCCTGTACTTCTATGTAATTTTTAGGGATAATTCGGAATTTCACTGCCTTATTGAAATTTTCTTGTAATCCTTGTCCCGGCTTTTTTCAAAGACCATCCGTCTTAAAGTTGGATTAAAAGTTGGAATAGGGGATAGTATCATTGTTAATAAAAATCAAGTTTTGACTTCATGAATCATGACTATTATTTAATTGTGCCATCATGAGGATTCAAGTCACAAATCAACTTTGCAAAATATAGGTTGGATTGGTTTTAATATTCAATGTGACAAATTCCGCTACATTAATTTTATTTTTTGTTAGGGTAATCGAACTTTGGGAATTCGATACAGGGTTAACAATAGTAAAAAGTTTGGGAACCACCGACATAGTAGCTCACCTGCGTAGGAACAGCTTAGCTGTAATGACTATTTGTTTATTTATTACTTCAATTAATCATATGAAATGTTTCGTTTCAGTTATAAATTATTATTCTTCGATGTATTTCTAGGAGCCAGAATCTGCCGGCAAGATTAAAGACCTGACAATGGCTGAAAGCAAAAATTGTTTCAATATATTCAATGTTCTATGTAGATATGAAGGACAGTTCGATGACGATGCTTTACTGCAGGTATTATTATAGGAATTTTATTTTAAATAGCGTGAAGATTTGGAATGGGGTTTTTCATGTTGGAATTATGATAAGTAATAATGAATTAATGAGTCTTGCTGACTTTGAGTTAATCTATCATTGTTATTGTGCGTTTTATTCAGTATCTGTTGATTCATGATAGTCTGATTGTCCTTATTTTAGTTCTATTACGAGTTTTGGGACTGTGTGTGTTAGCTAAGTGAATATACGCCCTGCCCATGGGCTTCTGTCCCTTTACACAACTTGATGTAAAGTAGGCAAACAAAATTAGTTACCTCTATAATGGTACGCACACTTCTGGAGCGCATTTTATTTATCGTTAGATTTCGATAGCTTTCTTTTCACTCATTGCTAAGATTACACTTTATCTTTGATACATAATGTCATGGCATTCTAATTATTTGCAACCATTTTGATGTTTCATGTAAATTTTATTTCAATTTTTATTATTATACAAACTTCATGATTTTGGTTTCCTCTCAATTCTGTTGCAAATTCATGACACCTTTAAAATTTTGTCACAGTTATCTTAAACATTACAGAAATATATTTGTGTTAGTGTGGAGCAAGACTATTGAATCACTTAAGAAAGTTATCTTCAATCTTGATAGCATTCTTGTACATACAAATTCGAATCCACCAGTAATAAAGCATAGAAGAAGTATAAGTAGTTATTCCCACAGAAACCAAATCAATAGCGCGAGCTTGTAATTGTTGTTGTGTTATTGTTTCATTCATTAAGTATAATAAATCGTTTCAAATTACATAATGCTAAGAAGAATTTTAGTTTGGTGTATTTTAATCAAACCACTTAAAAATGGATTTTGATTATTAATCTAACTTGTAATTTCAATTTTATAGGCCCTGGAAGATAAGTATGATTCTTTGAGAGACAAATTGCTTGCAGAAGCACTCATGAAACAACTTGGTGACAAAGCATGGGGTGAACTGAGTGAGAGAGAACGACAAGAAAGATTGTTCAAACTTAAAATGGAAGAGAGAAGATTAAGAAAAGAAGGTACATCTTCAATATTGTGGAATTAGTGCTATTAGACAAACTTTTTGTTCTTTATTTTTGTTGTTATGCCATTTTCAAGTGTACCTATACCCGCTCTTGTTCGACTAAATTTTTTCCTAACCAGTACAGTGAATTTGAGTATTAGTTGTGGCGTCTGTTAGCGATAATTTTGAATCTAACTTACATTTTAACTGATGTATTTTGAGAGTGAGATTTTGGTGAGTGAGATTTAACTGAGATTTTGGATTATTTGCTCAGCGGAGTACCAACGAAACACCAGAGAAACCATGTTAAAATTTAACTTTCAACTCCTAAGCCTCTTTGACTCTTACAGCCAGGAATCTAATAAACTATAGCAATGTGGGATTCATTTTTGCAAGGTTTTACTCTGGTGGTTGGATGTCAAGTGGATACCAAGTTAGGGTTAGGCCATAATTTTATTTCGATTTTCCTCATTTTAGTTCTATTACGAGTTCGGGGACTGTCTGTGTTAGCTAAGTGAATATACCCCCTGCCCATGGATTTCAGTCTTTTTATACAACTTAATGTAAATTAGGCGAACAAAAGTAGTTCCTATTATATTGGCACACACACTTCTGGAGCACCCTTGCAATTACTATACCTGCCGTAACGATAAACCTGTATTTATTTCTTAGCTTATAATTTCTGCACTATTAAGCAATCATATCTATTACTTTATCTTGCACATTGATTACACAGTGTGGGTTTGTAAGTTCATATATCTGTTGATTTATAGAAGTGCTGGACGATTATGGATTTCTTCACATCTCAGTCTGAGCCTCTGGAAAATTTAACTTGATGAACTATTATCATTTGACTTAGTCAGGAGCTTGAAATTTTCCATTTGATAACACATAATATCGCATTTCCACAAAATATATATGAATTTTTATACCTGGCCTGTCCGTTCTTTTTTTCAAACTTGAGTAAAACTGATTTACAACAATTTCTTTATTCCAGGCAGATATGATGAACTTGCTAAATTACTTGGAGAAGCTTTTGCTGATGATGAGAGAATTAAAGCAATGTTGGGAATGAGTAGAGAGGAATATGATAGAAAAATGAAGGAGAGATTAGCCAATAGAAAACGAGGTTAGTTTGTTTTCTGTCACATTAAATGATTAGTCCTGGCCACAACATTAAATTGCTCACATCCTTTAATATACCGGCCCAGCCCGGATCTGGGCTAAGTGACTTGTGGGCCACACTAACATTCAACTTTCATACGAAGGCGGGGGCCACAAACTATCATCCTGCAGGCCGCAATTGGCCCCCGGGCCGCTGCGAGTTTAAGACCCCTGCTATAAACAGTGTATTTCTTGGTTTTTTTTTCATTCTTTCATTTTCAGCGTTCAAATATTTATATGGGCAATTAATACACCTTAATAAAATATTTAGAGGTTTAATAATACACTTCAGTATAGACATTTTTCCAAATTTGATTTTTTTTTCTTCTGATTAATACATTCCAGTTCACATATCTTTTGACTCAAATTAAAATATGAAGATATCTAGTTTGGACCTGTACATATTAATAGCCAGCTCGGCACTTCTAAAAACATATTATAGGTTCAGAAAAATCTGATCGACTGAATAAAAAAATTTACTCCAATCCTACTTCAATATTTCTTTAGGGTGTCTCAAAATGTTGTATTGTGTCCACTTGTCCCACGTGTCAAATGAGACACATTGGTCAAGTGAGACACATGGGCAAGTTGGACACAACATTTTCGAGACACCGTATTTCTCTGCATATGTGTGTTTGTTCAGAAATATAGTGAGAGCGAACACTTTATAAATAACTTATGATATGACAAAAAATCTTCAAATTTTATTTTGTTGAAAGGTGACTTAGGAGCAATAACAGAAGAAGATGATGCAGCTTCATTAGAAGAAGGTGGTAGTGGCGATCCATTGAAAGATCTCGCTTCAAGATATGATGATGAAAAACAAGCATTGCTGAGAATGTTGGCTGGACAAGATCAAAGGTTAGATTATTGATGAATATATCTGTTGGTATTTAGGAAACTTTAACTAGTGTCAAATTATGTGAGGGATAATTATGTGTGAGACGATTGCTGGATTTTTCACCGTCGTATGGTGGTTCACATAATCGCTAATCTGTTACTGTTTCTTCAATCATCAAGTTCATTCAACAAAACTCAATAACTATTTGTATCAGAAATTAGATTCAAATAAATTAGCATGGGTTATTTCCTATTACTATTTTGCATTCACACATGTTAATATTACTACCCTTGGTAGAGTTGAAGATTGGTCTGACTGAGCAGGGATTCGTCCCTTGTTTTCTTGCATGTAATTGATTTGACATAGTTACGCTAGTACTAATTTAATGTAACTATCAATGGAGGTTGCGCAAGATTAACTCCCAATCCTTTCCCAATGCCTTTGCGCTAATGGACGTGTATGCGTATAATGCAAGGTTGCTGTAGCAGGAATAAAAATACCCTACTATGCAATTCAAGAGTCCTGCTGCACAGTCACACTAACACAAATGTATTTCTGTAACGTTTCGTCTGACCAAAATCAGACAGAGGTAGTCTGATTTTGGTCAGACGGCCGGTTACAGAAATACATTTTTGTTATGGTGTAGCAGGACTCTTGAATTGGGTACAAATTAAATGACTACTGTCTACTATATTCAGAAGTAAGCTCTTTGGCCTTATTGAAATGTTAGCATCACATTTTAAAATAATAATAATTCAAGAAATAAAAATGATTTAAAACTCTTAAAAATGATGTTTAGTTTTTCTGATTCAATTTATATCCTGGTAGATTTCATGCTAGCTTATTTTTTATGTTTAGAATTGAAAAATATTTTAAAACTTCCAAAAATGGTGTTTCTTCTTTCTGATTGAATTTATATCCAGGTAGATTTGGATGCTAGTTTATTTTTTATGTTTTGGCCAGTGTTCAATTTACATTTTCCTTGTCTTTAGGTATATGAGTGAAAAAGAGAGGCAGATGGAGCTGGCACGTTTACGTCGAGAGTTGTTGAGAGCAGAAAGAGAAGAAAAATTTGGAGCAGCTGCTCTGGTGCTTGGGTTGGCTGAAAGGAATGCAGAAATGGAAAAAAGGTGAGAATTATACTAATGTTAATATTTCAATTAGGGGTGCAGGGGTTAATTAAAAACCACTGACCCATGTCTCATGAACGCCATTAGATATGTTCACATCAAGAATATATATCATGCCCTGGTTATGCTTGCACGTAATCGACCAAAATCAATTCCGTAATTATGGCAAAATCGCTAACGTAATGACCCCGTAATTGTGATAGTTTTACTCAGATTGAATTTAACCGATTTGTCCAGTCATAAAAGTATGGAAGACGATATGCGGTACATTCAATTAAGCTAATACTCAGCGAACTAAATGAAGCAGACGAATGTTTATACCAATCGGCAACAATGAAAGGCAAATAAGCAGCATTGGGCTAATATAAAGAGATATTATTATTACAAGGACGACTAAAAATGTAAATTATTTTGACTTCGACTAAATCCGCTTGTTTTTCATACTTTTGTTGTGACGTCAACAAAGAGCATTATGATAATTTATTGCGCGACCTAAACCTGATATCTGGACACAATTTATTTCATATCTGATCATGAATCTAAGTGAGATGCGCGTTGGCTGATACACTTCAACAAAAGACCCTGGTGAAGATTTTCTGTATAGGGATTGGAAATACTAGCCTGCAACATTGCTTTGCTAGCACTGCTTGGCTCTATTTATCCTTATGTCACAAATTATTGTCAAACAACTAACATTCCAGTGTAAAAAAAATTTAAGCTCAAGCTTTAAATTATTCAATATCAACCCATAATTAAAAAATTGGCAGAAAAGATGCATTAGCAAATTTCTCATTGATGCAGACATTGATGGCCCACATTCTTTTTCTGGGAACAAAAATACTAATAATGTGTGAACCATTCAAAAAGGTAAAAAGGGTTTGCTGTTCCTGGTTTGGTAACTTGTTATGTGTGTTTATTTTTATGTGATCATGAATTGCTACGTTTTGACGACGTTATTTATTATTGTTGGAAATATACTGAAACCAAACGAAGACCTGCCAATAATCCATTCTTACAAATTGGAAGTAATTTTTGTTACTTATATCTTCACCGTTTCAGCTTATATTCTTAGGAGAATTTCATCTTGAGATAATTTATGTGGATGAACCATTTACTCTGTTTTTTGCATGATTATCTTGCCTAATTTATTATTAATGGACATCAGGTAATGATGGGTTGTAAAGAATATCACTCGACTTGCCACTAATCTCTCTATTTACAAAGATGTATTGAAGGACTTAATGGAAAAAAATGTAGCATTTATATATCTATCCAAAATGTGGTTTGAAAGTTATATTTTGTGTATATTGTGGATATCTGGAAGTAGATATTTCGGCTGACCTTCGCCTTCCATAATCCATTATTTTATTCATTGGAATAAAAAGGATTAAGAACGATCATTGCGATAGACTTTGTTTTCATCTTGTTTGTGAGTAGGAAATAAGTCAATATATCAGTCATAGGGCAGAATGTTATATTAAATGAATGACAGAGAACTGATAAGATGGTTTGTATATTTATGTATGTTGAACGTCAAGTTTCTCTTCAAAGTTTTAGTTTTGGTTAAGTATGAGAACAGCCAGTTAGTGTCAATTTTTAAAACGGGATACTCCAGTGGATAGACAGGAACAATCAAATTTGAAACTGTGACTCAACATTTACCGGTATATTTAGTTGTGGACTTATGTGGTTACCACTACAAATAATTTGTATTATATTTCAAGGGTTCATCACACAAAATTGTTTTCTAATTTTCTTTTCTTGGATTTAATATTTTTGATATTTATGTGTAAATGATTACTTAAGGGCAAAAATGTTTCATTTATTTTGAAGTTTGTCTCAATTTTTGATCGTCTTCTGTATTCCTAACATTTTTTAATTTTGTTTTGTCACAGACTGGCAAGCGATAAGAAACGACAAGAAGAACTAGCGAAACAACGTCTTGCAGCTTTAAAAGCAAGAAAAGGAAAGAATTTTGTAATGCCAACTATTTCTGAAGAAGATGAAAAAATTATCAGAGAAGGAAGTAAAACTGAGATGATGGTGAGATTCATTTATAATTTTGTTTATCATTCTCAAAGCCAGTCTAATAGAATCACTTACAGATTGGACATACACATTTGGGTGCATGTTCACTAAACTACGTAAGTACTTCTATTTGTGTAGCACAACCAATTTTGCATATATTATTCCTGACCCCAACCTGGCTTCTTTATCCAAAGTCTCCGTCATTACAACCTCACAATTACGTCAAAGAGCTTTCAAAGTATAGTTATGTTCGCCCGAAATGGCATATTCGCCAATGATAACGTACTCACTAACACTAGCAATCTCTCTCATTTCGGATCGTTACGACAAGAATCGAGAGAAGTAGCTTGCTTGTTTTCGGGTGATTGTCTGCCCATTGCCTAGTCTCAATTTTAGGCCTAAGGTAAAGGTGTGAAAATGCCTCAAACAATTTCTTTAATGTGGCTATACAAATACTTTGTTACTATTACAGGATGCAGTCCTCCGTAAGCTCGAACTTTTGTATGAAGCAGAAAGAGCTTGGCTTGTTCATATCCTGACTTGCCAAAACGAGTTAAAACCAGATCAAACTGGAATCAAGGAGAATGATCCAATTAAACTTGCAAATGCTCGAAGTAGTTCTGAATTATCAGATAGACTACATGAAATTGATGTCAAATTGCCTAATCAAGGTTCGTATGTTCTGGCAAATAATAGGTTCCTGAATTACATTGAAAACTCGACAATTCAGATTATTCTTTGCCCAAATATGATAGTATGTTCAATAAAAATCATTTGAAATGGCTGGTATTTATTTCTATCTGCATTCAGACATGAATACCAATTTATATTGATTATGTCAAGTATGGTTATCCTGTACCTAGTTCATATAAAAAATGAACAAATATTCTGATTTTCTATTTTTTACAGTTTCATTCAAAACGAAAAATGTTTTGTGCAACCGAAAATGACAAATTTTCCTGTTGAAAATTACCATTTGCAAGCAATTACTATACCTATAATGAATATTAAATGTATACTTTATTAATACCGGTAGCTCATAAATTTTTACCATGAATATTTCTTAATTTTATGTTGATATTCTTTTTCAGTCAACATTCACGAATACAAGATGCCATTGACGGAAGCAAGTTTTTTCAAACAAGGAATGATTGTTCATGAATTAATGATTCAACCTGATACGATCATTAATAAAGAAATACTTGACGTTAAAACACTGGCAATATTGCAGGAAATACAAGATAGGAAAAGTAGAAAATTATCTGAAGATATGGCAACAATGGTAAACTATTTACTGTTTATGTACGAAGTTAATGGATGTTTCTCCAGGGATCGATTTCCTTGATTTTTCCGTAACAATGACCAATTAGCAAAATGATGACGATGACGTAACAATTGTAATTTTTGCATTCGCTCAGACTGATGTTCAAGCATGGTTGTATACATTGCCTCATTTTCGCGGTTTTGCGTGTTATTTGTCAGTTTTCATTTGTGTTTACAGAAATTAGTTGAGAATTAAGTATTATAATTATTATTTTATCTACCAATGAGCTTTAGTTTAGTTGCAATGATCAAAAATTAGTTCCGGGAAAGCTGCGATAGACTAGGCTAAAATGAGCTATCAGTACCTGTATAAACACATGGTTGTATATTTTAATAAAAATATTGGTTTTGACCACGTAAATCAGTTTATAATTTGCAACTCTCCAAAACACTCGCAAAATAAGCATCTAAAATTTTGCAACAGTGAAGAGAATTTGTTTGGGGTCTTACATCTTAAAAATCTGCTGTTTTGTATAAACACCAAATTATTTATGTACCTAAAGAATATGAAATAAATTGTCATTTGTCAATTAGCGATTTATTAACTTTATTCACAGGATGATAAAGAACTGATTGAAATGCAAGAAAAGAATTTGCTTTGGGCAAAACAAGGAATATCAAACAACATTCCTGCAACTTTCTTCTTGCAAGCTGAAGAAGATGTATTGGATGAAGCATTGGAGGGAAAATTTGATGCAATATTAGCTGCGTTGGTTGAAAAAGCATTGATAGAAAAGGTTCCTTTTTTTTCAAATTCTTCTTGTATTTAGTATAAAGTTATAAAGCATTGGCATTGTGACAATAGTTCCAGCAAAATGTCATCTACGGAAACCCAAAGTTAATTAGTCGATTTTGAGGTGAAATTTCTCATTTGAATTTGGAAGTTAGGCCATTATTTTATTTTTATTTCCCTTATTTTAGTTTTATTATGAGTTTGGGGACTGCCTGTGTTAGCCAAGTGAATTTCCCCCTGCCCATAGGTTTCAGTCCCTTTACACAACTTGATGTAGAATAGACGAACAAAATTAGTTACCTTCATATTGGTACACATACTTCTAGAGCGTCATTTTGTGTTACACATAAACTGGCACTTTAAATTTAAAAGCTTACGAACCCTGATCTAATCACTGAGACATTGTTTGATCTTTTACCAGAAAGGAGAAAAGAAATGGAACTCAATGTCAAAAATGGAGCAAGATCATTTAATAGCGGAAACAACAGAGAAAATAAAGAAATTAATGTCAGAAGGAAAAACAGATGAAGCATTAGAATTACTTGGTGAAACTGGTAAAAACAATCTTGACTCACTTCTTGCAATGTTCGGATTGAGAAATGAAGATGAAGAAAGGAAAAAACTGGAAGAAGAAAGAATGGAGAGAATGAAAGAACGAATTGCTAACGGTATGAAAAATGGAAAGCGAAGATTTAGTTACGCTCTAAAATTATTATCATATGTAAAATATTTCGCTCGTCTTTGAAAAGTATTTGTATAGCAAATCAAAGACTTAAATGATATACAGTGATACATCTGTAGCCAAACGTCTCGATACTCGAAACAATTCGGCAGTCGATCAAAAAATTCTAGTCAAAAATACTATGGTACTCGAACGGAAATTTGGTGCTCCAACATTCTAGCGCACCTTCGAGTGAAATGACGTCATCCAAACCTCACATCTCGTGTCGAAAACCAATCCTGAACGAATTGTGTTCGACTACCGAGGTATCAATATATAATGTATTGTAGTTGTTTTGATTATGATGGTATTTCAACAGAGAAGACAGTGTGGGTTATGTATAAAAGTAGCTAATTACCATTTTGGATACTCCCTTAATGTGTGTACCAGGATAGGCCAGAATTTTATACCGATTTTCCCTACTTTAGTTCTGTTACAAGTTTGTGGACTGTCTGTGTTAGCCAAGAGAATATACCCTCTGCCCATAGGTTTCAGTCCCTTTACACAACTTGATGTAAAGTAGGCGAACAAAATTAGTTACCTCCATATTGGTACACATACTTCTGGAGCGCCTCTACTTGAGTAAGCCATATGTTGACCCTTCAGTTATGTCATAAAAAAAATTTAATTTTTGCCTTTATTTAAAAATAAACTTTAACATGATATTATTATAGGCATGTCTGAGGAGGAGGCTCGAAGACTCATGGAAGAGGAAAAAGAGAGAGATGAGGAGGCACTCAAGAAGAGGAGAAAAAACATACTGGCATTGTTACAATATGACTTGGACGCTCAGAAAGCCGAATTACTTAAACAATTAGCAGAGAGTGATGAAAAGTAATTTATCAGTTGTTATTTTGTAGTTTAAACGACTGCATCATTGAGAATTTCCAAGAATAAACATCTTTTTGGGATGGGCAAATTACGGCCTGTGGGCCGGATCCGCCCACTGAAGTGTTTCATCCGGCCTACTGCTAAAATCACAACTATAATTTTTATAGATATAAATTTTTGATGAAAATATCAATAAAAATAACATCATAATGAACCCGATTGTTACATTGTACTTCTTTTTATTATATGAACGTGAGCCTAGCTGTTGTAAATAAACTCTTTTTATTTATAGTTTTTCAAATTGATTTTTAATCCTACGACCCAGTACCAAGGCTATCACCTGTACCTGGCCCACTCAGAAAAGTAATGGCCCACCCAAATTAAGCTGTTGTTTTAGTTGATTTGGTATTTCTTTACACTAAAACTATTTTTATTGTTTAATATGTCTTGATAGAGGTATTTGATAATTCTCACCAATCAATTTTCCCGCCTCTGTGTATAAGTTTGCAGTTGTAATTGGAATTTACTGATTATTAAGGTTTGATCAAGAAAGAAGACGTCAACTTGAACTTGCAAAATTACGTCTTCAACAAAGAATGATGAAAAGAGAAAATGATCTTGATGCGGTCGCTCATGTTCTGGCTTTATCAAAACTATCAGATGATCAGTAAGTTTTTATTATGAGGTCTGTGCGTGTTTGCGCCTGGCTCCAACAAGACAATAGCAAAATAGCCACTGATATTTTTGAACATCTATGTTTTGGAAGAAATTTGGACTTGCTTTCCTAATTTTTTCTGTGAGCCGTTTTTTTAACTTCACTCCTATGCTTCGTACAAGCATCTACTAACTACTTACGAAGATACCTGCCTACATCATGGTTATACAACCTTAAATACAGGAGGGCCAGATACAAAATAACTAGGTTTCGACATAGTATTTCTAGTAGTTGCAGGCACAAAAATTTTGGTTATTGATCCTATGGCACGTGTTGTTTGCTTCACACACAAGCTAGCTGTTAGGTAATTGTAACATCAACGGCATAGATAATAAATTGAACTCTGGTATAGGCTTTGCAGCACAAAGGGATTGGAATCACTCGCACATACCAGATTTTATTGAACTCAATCCGCGGGCCGCACATCATTCAAATTTGGCACTTCTTCACGGGTCGCACAACTTTTCCTTGCGCACCCCTGGTCTACACATTTTACCTCAGCCTGGGTGAGGTGGTGGCCATTGGGTTTAAACCCAAGATTTTTAACCTCTATTGCCAACATAGTCAAGTCATTAGGCCACATAGGCACTAGGTATTTCACAACTTCACTCCAAATTAGTCTTTGTGTAAGCTGCCACTGACTACGACATACAAAGCTACTAGTTTTGGGAAAAATATTTTATTCTGTTCTGCATTGTCTATTCAATTCACTATACCCTTAGGGGATCCGAGATTTTTAACCTGCATCATCGACTCAGTGAGTGTCCAAGGTAATCACCCAATGGGGTGAAAAGCCTATCTTAAATAAACGTATTTGATATTAATTCCACCAGTCATCATTCATGGTACTGTAACATCCTTATCTCACATGGGCAAACTACGGCCCGCAGGCCAAATCCCTCTCGTCGTGTAATTCAACCTGGCTCGACTGATGCTGCCAGAACCAAACTAAAACTAAATTTTGATGTTTTAGCTGAAAAATAGTTCACAGAATTTGTTGAGATTGCGATTAAATTTAGTTTTGGCACATGGCTCATTGTTTTTCACTTTTGCTTTTGTAACACTGTAAATATTGTTGCTAATTTGTCACCTTTTATGCCACACTTACATGGCCCGCCAGTGTAGGTGGGCAAAATTTTGGTCTCTGGTCTATAAACCTTGCCCACCCGCCATCCCTGATCTATATATATAGTATGCCATCATCATGTTACACATGCATTACATAATTTAGTTGTTTAACGCAAGATTTTAATTGATATATGATCTTAATTTTGTTTTTTTCCAAATCATAGGTTGGAAACAGAAAGACAAAGACAGTTAGAACTTGCTCGGAAGCGATTAGAAGCACTCAGGAAAGGTAGAAAAATGGAAGAGGTGAATACTGGACTTAGTAAATGAAGACAATCACATACCGTTATAATGTTTCCATCCAACGATATGGATTTTAGGATAGGATTTACATTTTTATCCTGGGGGATAGGAAAGGTGACAGCTTAATAATATGGCGAATCGCGGCCTCGCGTCTGGTTACCAGTTGGTGTCGGGTATGGAATTAGTTAGCCAGTCGTTTGTTTTTAGGAGCATGGACGTGAAGGTGGAGGAAGCCGTAATCGACCAGTGGTTACGTGAACCACCATATGGCGGCGAGGAGTCCAGCAATTTTCTCGCACTCAACTATTTCCGCATGGGATTCAAACCTGTGAACCCACGCAGGGTAATCAGAGTTGCAGTTTTTATAACTCGCTTCGTCATACTATCTCAAATAATTTATTTATTTTTTCAAGGACAATATTTTTCCGCTCAAGCTACCAGATGATGATGACATTAATACTCTCATTGATGTAATAATTCGTGAAATGGAATCAAAGCATAATCAAGAAAGAGTTGTTTTGATGCAAGTAAGCATTGTTAATTTCAATACAGATTGAGCAGCACTGAAGGACTCTGAACAAGTTCATTGAGTTCAAAAAACTCAACTCATTGAACTAACCTAGCATTTCCCCCCAGAGGAAATATTTGTTTCTTGGAAGGAAATATTACTTCGTATTCGGTGTAGTTTCACAAATATTGTTCACTTATTGACTGTAATAAGTTTTTATGTACACATTATAAACTATTCAAACTACATAAAATCCAGGGTGTGACTTGTGCATAACACTGGCTAAGGATCTTTCTTTATAGATTTGACAAGAAATAGAAACAGTTGTGTGCATAGTGAGGGGGAATAAAGAGATTCAAAATAGGAAATGGGGAATTCATCGGAAGGAAGTTGTTGGGAATCGCTGGGCTGACCTATATATCGCAAAATCTCTTGTATTATTTGCCATTACCAGATTCACTAAGTCTCGATCAAATATGTAGGCCTATGTACTTCACTATATATAAAATATTTTTTGGTGTTTTCATGACTTCACTAGTACATAAGAGGCTTGTGGAGTGTGCTGATGAAAAAAATTTCTCGCTGAGAAGTCACTATTCCTAATTTTGTAAAATTATTGGAAAATTATTTTATGGTATGATGTTTGTTCATTGAGAGTGAACTAAGGTTGCGAAACATTTTTTGAATTTGATCTTTTGATGGAAACAGTGATTTTAAGAGTTATGTAATATCCTTTATTTTTCTATTTATGTTTTTTGTGTTCCACAATATTTTCTGAAATCTTCAGCTTCTGACAAAAGACGCTTCTCCTCAAATGGACGTTCGAAAAAAAGCTGCATCGATGGATGAAATTTCTATACAGAAGAGAATTGATGAATTGAGAGAAATAAGGAGACAGTGGAGAAATGATGATCCTGATAATCTTGAAGAAAATGCATCAGAACAAATGTCTATTTTAATTGTAAGTACTTTACAATGTAGAATGTTATCATTTCAGTTTTTCATACATTACTGCATTTCCAAATTCAAACTCATTAAACGAAATAGACCAGGGGTCGACAACCTTTTGTCGCACACAGGCCAAAATTATGGGTTGCAAGTCTTGGCAGGCCGCACATACTTTTAGAAAAATAAAAACCGAAAGGATGGCTGACTTAGTTGTCTTACTTGAAGAAAAGAAAGGAACAAATGACATTCGATGTGACACATTTGTTTCATCACGCTTGATACATTTTCGACATCGGCGGCACACTGGATGAAGCCAAGATTAAAACCTTTCCTAAATGGGAATCACTAATTCGAGTTCACAGATTGTTCTTTGTAATGTTCATCTTCAAAAATAATTGTTTACATGCATGTGTACTTCCAAACATCGATGTGAATTTTTTTGCATGGTTTGTCAGATTTGGATAGAGATTTCCTTCAAGAAGACCTTTTGCACTTGGCATCAACTTTTTTGTGTTTTGTTTATATTTGTCTAATTATGATTAAATTACAGGCTCATTAAACGAGTAGCTGTTCACTGAATTGTTAAGTTATAATATATAATTTAATATACACGTGTTTCACAATAAATTTGGTTACATAAAGAATATAATCATCAAAACAGCCATTTTGTTACTATAATTCTTGGCAAATAATGGCTTGGCAAAGCCATTTGCTGCTTCGGGAAAGGGATTAACAACCCTCTAGGTTTCTCATCTGTTGCAAACTTGATGACAACGAATAATATTATATGTGAATGAAACTGATTGATCATGAAATAAAGTTTTTATTAAATCGGTTTGATAGATTAATCTAATATGCACATTGAACAAGCAACATTTAATGTTTGTGACTTTTCTACTTTATAGGAAGCAACTGCATTGGATCTTGAGCTTCTAATAAAAACCAATGAAACCATGTCTGAAGAATCAGCTCAGGAAGAAATATTAGGAAAACTTCAAAACCAACAAATGTTAGAAAGCAGTCATCTGATAGATGATTTGCCTAAGAAGGTAACATTATATTCCTTTTGATATAGTTAGCTTATTTGCTGGAAGGTTTTTGGACCAGGGCACAAAAATTTTGCCGACCTAGACTGGCGGGTCATGTAAGTGGGACGTAAAAAGTTACATTTTGAACAATATTTACAGTGTTACATGAGCAAAAGTGGAAAACTATGAGCCCCGTTCCAAAACTAAATTTAATCACAATCTTAACAAATTCCTCAAGCTATTTTTAGTTGAAACATCAAAATTTGGCATTTAGTTGGGTTGTGGTAGCATCAGGCGGGCCAGATTGGTCTACCCAACGGGCCGAATTTGGTAAGGTTCATTAGTTAAGCATTAGTCTTTTCTCTCTTGCATTTGAATTTGATTGTTCCAACTTTCCTTGCGTACCAGACACCAGCAACACTGCGAATGATTGCTAAAGTTCAATGGAAAGCAAGATCCGAGAGATGGTTGGATAATGTTGCTGAGAGTTTACTGAGAAAACCTGAAGTATCCTCACAAGAAGATGAGGTCCTCAAAGCTCTTGAGGACAAATATGATGCAATGAAAGACAAATTATATGCTGAGGTTTGTTGAGTGATATCTTATGATTACATAGATTGAATTTTGTCACATGATTGAAATATAGTCGAGCAGTTAGTTTTTTACCGCCAAATACTTAGAGTATACTAGAGTATTTGATGATTTTTTTGAGTTTGGTGCATTTCTCCTAAAAAAATTCGATTTTACATTTCTTCCATTAATCTAAAACAATAGTAACCATGGATTGATTTTCTGTCACTTTTAAGTTCTGAAATGATATTTCATATTGTGAAATAATGATTATGTTCTTATTATGTCATGTTCAACTGTTTTGAATATTACCGTATTAGATTTTTGTTTAATTACAAAATGTAAAACTACATTTTTTTTGTCTGACCAGTGTGGCGGTCAATGTCAAATGAAATTTTACAATTTTCCTTGAAATTTAAAATTTACTTTATCGATCGGATGTAACCAGTTTTAAATGTATTCGAATATTTGATTCATGTTAAACATTCATGAAAGGGGATTTTATGATTGGTATTCAATACAGCATAAGATCCAATGTCAGTATCAGGATGATTTCATCGTGTTTTTTAATGTTCTCAGGGACTCAGTCTAATAATAGCTTTAATTTTCCATTGACAGGCTTTACTGAGACAATTTGGCGAAAAAGAATGGAATGATTTATCTGAGATAGAAAGACAAAGAAAAGTATTTGAAATTAAGATGAAAGAAAGAAAACTCAGACAAGAAGGAAAAATGAATGAAGCGGCAGCACTTATTTCATCTATGATCAAGTCTGATGAAGGTCAGTGCCATCACGACTTTCAATGCAAGAGGTTGCTAGACTTTTTTCTCTCGAGATGGTTTAAATCAGGCGTGTGCAACCTTTAATACGAGAGGGCCAGATACAAATAACTGGGTGAGACCGCGGGCCGCACCTTTATTTAACCCAGGCTTTTTAGTGGTTGCAGGCACTCAAATTTGGGGCATTGTAACGTCATAGGCATAGATAATAATTGGACTCAGGTATAGGATTCGTAACGCAAAGGCGTTGGAATTATTTGCACGTACCAGATTAAAACTAAACTAAAATATCGTTTCGTGGGCCACACAAAATTTAAAATTGGCACTTCATCGCGGGCCGCATAATTTTTCCCTGTGGGCCGCATTTGACCCGCCGGCCGCAGTTTGCACACCCCTGGTTTAAACAATTACTGTTTGGTTGCTGTTTTTCCCAAAAGCATTCAAACTTATCCCTTATAATATCACTTCAAACTTATGAAATATCACATAATAAACTTGACCTTTTACCTGGTCGGGAGGCCATAGTTTCGAATAGATTAAAATTTACAAATTTTGATCTATTTACCGTACTTGCTTGTAAAATTAATATGAAATCTTTTTTGACCTGAACATTTTTATCATAGATCTTGCACGATTACTGGGTGAAGTAAAACTCTCTCAGAAAGAAGAACTTGAGAAGAAATTAGAAAAGAGGAGACAATTGAAAGAACAACGACTTGCTGCTGGTTTAGCCGTTGACGATACGACTCTTGATTCTGAGATACAGAAAATTGATGAAGAAGAAAAGAAAAAAAGAAAGGTCTGGAATAGATTGTTTTTTATATTTAGTGTTTATGTCAGAGTAGTGAATCATTGGTTATGGTGCAAGCAGTAATTGAATTCTTTTGCTGGTGCTTGGAATGCTTAATAACATATTTCTATCGGTTTAGAACAAGGGTGGGCAAGGTTTTTCAACCAGGGGCCAAAAATTTTGCCCATCTGGACTGACGAGCTATGTAAGTGTGAGGGTAAAAATTTACATCTTATGAGCAATATGTACACTGTTGCAAAAGTGGAAAACAATGAGCTTCGTTGGAAAATGAAAACTAAATTTAATTGCAATCTCAACAAATTTCTTGAGCTATATTTAGCTAAAACATCGAAATTTGGTTTTAGTTTGGTTGTGGCAGCCTCAGGCAGGCCAGAAAAAATTACCCAACGGGCCGGCTATGGCCCGTGGGCCCTAGTTTGCCCATGTCAGGATTAGAAGGATGCTTGAAGGTAAAATCATGTATACCCATTACAAAGAACATCCTATCAATCTGTCTATGATGTGTCAATCGAAATTTCTCACTAAAGATTTTGAACTAATTTTGAAAAATGATGCTCGGCCTTGACCCATTATTTAAATTTAAGCTTTTGGACAGTATGCGGGCTTGATTTTCAAATGACGCCGTATATTGATTGGTTCATACCATGGTCATAAATAAGAACTATTGAAAAGAAAACAATATTTAAACATGAATGTTTTCTAAAATTTTATACTTTGGGTTATTTTAGAATGTGCTACTGCTTTTGGAACACAACTTGGATGAAGAGAGAGATATGATTCTTGCGAGTCTTCGTAAACAGGATGAAGCTGTTGATATAGAAAGAAGAAGACAACTTGAACTCGCTCGATTAAAAAGAGAACAAAAGCAAATTGCTCGAGAAGATAAATTCAATGCGGCGGCTATTATATTCAATCAAGCTAAGAAGAGTGAAGAATTATTGGCAGCAAAGTAGGCTTATGATATTATAAATTCAATTCTGCCTGATTGATGTTGTTTTTCTCGTGTTTATGGTCAGTTATCTTAGTAAAGTATAAGTGACGAATTGGTGCTCCAGAAGTGTGCATACCAATATGGAGGTAACTAATTTTGTTCGCCCATTTTACATCAAGTTGTGTAAAGGGACTGAAACCTATGGGCAGGGGCTATATTCACATGGCTAAAACAGACTGTCACTAAACTTGTAATAGAACTAAAATAAGGAAAATCGGAACAAAATTATGGCCTAACCGTAACCTAGTACACACACTACGGGAGTATCGACAAATCAATGAATTTAAGTGTACCGTAACCAACTTGACTGGATGCATATCTTCTATTGTTTTAGAGTTGAAGAAATGGTTTAACTTCAATCTATACGTCTATTTCATTAAAGATGGCCCAAGTATGAATACAATCAGTATTCAAGTTAAGAAAGAGTCTCCAAATGAAGCTCTCCATTTTCAGTGCTTGTTTACACCCATTTTTTGAGGAGTATCCCATGCGAATAAATTTTTCATAATGTAATTGGAACAGTGAATGATCCCTTTCCCAACATTCATCCTTATGGTAAGTCAATATTATCATCATGTAATTTTTCATCGTTTCAGTCTTGCGGAAAACAGAGCTCGTCAGTTAGCACTTGCGAAAGAAAGAATTGCAGCCAGAAAGGCACAAAAAGAAGAGAGAGAAGCTGCCAAAAAATTGTTCGATGTTGAATCAATTACTCAACAACTCAAAGTTTTACAAGATCATGAGAAGAATGAATCAGGTGAGAATTTTATATCAAATATTAATACAGGCAATATATAAAAAATGACCCAATACAATCAATTTTGAAATTATTGTCATTGATTTATCACTAAGCTTAAGTATGTGTTTGGGTTAGTATGTGTATTTTTGAGGGTGTGTGTATGTACAATGTGACCTTGAATAACAGAACCCTGATCATTTGAGAACATATTCTATAGAAAACATAACTATGGTGCAAAGCATCCTAGATTACTGGAACTTTTGGGAACAATAATAAATAAACAGAAGTTCAAGTGTTAAATAAATTTTCTTTCTAATTAAGAAATTTATGGGTGATGCTATTTTGTAATCCTGTATATATGCCTGACAATGGATGTATGAGTGTGTCATTTTGAAAAATATTTTATCCAAAAAATTTTTTATACTGATAAAAGGTAGTATGAAGGAATAGTATAATAATGCAATAAATATATGTTTTAAAATTTGTGAAAACTATGCTAAAACATAACTATTCATCATATTGAAATATTTGAACTTAAATTTTGCATTTACTATGAATTACTGAACTTAATAATGACTGAAATTCAACTTCAATATTATCCCTATCTTCATTCAGGAAACTTCTTGTCTAGGGCCTTGTTTGTAGAAAAAATGTGAAAACATCTCATAGCATGTATTCTATTTTCAGTATCAGCTCCTGAAAGGCTTGTCCAAGAAATGGATTTGAAACAATTGAATGAAAGAGAAAATTTTCTTTTATTGCTTTTATCCACGGATATGGATTCCAGTATGAGAATGCAAGCGTCTACCATGTCCGATGAGGTAAGAAATGTTTTGGTATTTGCTTAGGCACTGTTAATGTTTTGACAGACAAGAATAGGGTCATTTCGAAAATACAAATCAGTTTGGAACTTATTCGCAACTGCGGACTGCTCAGTTAATTTGATCTGCGTATGCAGGGCACTCATCCTCTTAATCATACCTCTGAAAATTTTTCCTAATTTGAAAAGCAAAAAACGACTTTTTGGGTTTGAAGCAGGGGTGTGCAACCTTAAATACGGGAAGGCCACATAGGAATGACTGGGTGAAACCGCAGGCCGCACCTTTATTTAACATACCCTTTCTAGTAGTTGCAGGCCTAAAAATTTTGATTATTGGTATTAATCTTATGACATGCGCTGTTCGTTTTGCATAAGCTAGTTGTTACAGCATTGTAACGCCATTGGTATGGAAAATGAATTGGACTCAGGTATAGTCTTTGCAACGCAACGGAATTGGAATTACTGGCACATACGAGATTAAACTAAATTAAAAACTCGTTTCACAGGCCGCACACTATTCAATGTTGGCACTTTTTCGTGGGCCGCACTATTTTTTCATGTGGGCCGCATTTGGCCCGCGGGTCGCAGGTTGCATACCCCTGGTTTAAAGTATGAAGTCATAAAAAACAACGAGCGCAGAAACATGATTAACATTGGAAATGAGAATATCGGTCAGAGACCGAAGACTTATCGATCAGAGTTAGGGAATCCCCAAAACAGCACTTTTACTCCATAGTGACACCTTGTGTCCCATCACTAATTAATTGATAACTCCCTAATTATACGACATAATTGGCCCAAAATCAATAGGCTTCTGGTACGAGATATGATGAATGCACATGCAAAATCTGGAGCAGATTCAATCTCGCTTTCGTGAGATATCGCGTGCATCTAACAGACAAACAAACAAACAGACAGACAGACAAATATCTATCAACATACTTACCGATTAAAATCGATAAGTAATAAGCCACTCTAAATCATCTGGTAAACTCCATCCAACTAATCCATCCAAATTCTTGAATTTCAATCGTTGGCAACAATGTCCTATCTCCGACCCAGTCACATCGTAACCTGAGGTATCAATGGAGTTCAGCCTAGTGGTCCTGTGTTGCCATGGGTTAGTTTCGACAAGGCGGGCCTTGTTGATTTCTGGTGACAAGAGGATGAGGACAGTTAGGCGGTTATTCTCATGCTCAATGTTGTCTTCCAGCAAATAAAAGCTGAAAAAGAGAAGATTATAAATGAGAGAAAAGAATGGAGAGAAAAAAGGTTTGTTGATTTACTGCAAGGAAAAGAAGATGAAGATGAAACAAGGAAGTCTAAAAGAAGAGATTTTCTGGCAAAATCCATTGTGGAACAAAACAAAATGTTTAAGAGATATTTGATCTTGAATTTGGAAGGTGATATTTTTATTATATTTTTGATAACAAAATAATTTCACACTGTTGGGCTCGAATAACTACATATGGGTAGGTACTTTAATATAAATGATAGGATCTGTTATTAGCAAATATCTTTACATTGATATCAGTGTTACAGGCGTATCTTAGAATATAACTTGGCATTTATGTATGAACGAATGTGCAACTTACACAGGAGAAAGTAGCTTTTGGTTATGCAGTTTGGGGTTCACTTATTATAAGAGTTGTATGCATTTTATGTTTGAGTAATCCCTTTTCAATACTCATAAAATTTTATTTATTTTATTACAGAATGAAATAAATTTTTTTGTATTTTGTGTTTCAATCATGCCATTTGCATCAGAACAACTTTTTGAAAATAATTTTCCGACATATCAAATATACTTGACACAAAATTGAATAAAATATTTTAAGCAAATTCTAAATTTCATTTTCATAATTGTTATTTATCTTATCAGTTGATCGTCGGGCAAAATCAGATCCAAATCAAGACTTCACTTCGGTCAAGAATGAAATGAGCGTTAAATGGTTGGCTGATATACAAACTTCTCAGGCTAGTGCTGTGGAAGCAGTTCACACTCTCATTACTGACAAGGTGCAATTTTGTTTGCAGTGTTTTTATGGAAATTTTTAGCTTCTGAAAAGTTCCATTCTCATAGTTCTGACCACCATTTAACATGGGCATCTTATGCTAGTTAGGAATCCGAAATTGGCTATATACATCATGCAGATTTTAGCAAATCAAGCATCTAAATTCGATCTATTATTCAAAGTATGGTGGTTTGAAGCAAACAACTATATAGTACCTCCTTCTCACCTGACTCATGAATACCCCTACTGTCTCGTGTAGAGTAAGAATTTCTAAACCCTTAGTTACAAGTTTATTCGTGTCATGGATCATTTGAGTAGAGTCTGAGTTCAAAGTTGAGTTAGTCTTACTGGATGTGAGCTGATGACAACTCCAAATCATTCCATTTAGTCGAATATCCCTAACACAGTTACTGCAAGACAATACATGCCTATTTTCATTTTTTTTTTGGTTTTCACTTTTTGATTATAGTGACGTTAATATTTTTACCAACTGCAATTAAAACTTGGCTAAAAATTTTTCTCCCAAGCACTCTCACTTTATCGAATTTACTCCACTTGTTGTACTCTTAGGGCACCCATGGCCGATTCCAAATCTTTTAACTGTACTATCTCTACTTTTAGTTAAGGACTACCAACCTTATTTTGAGCAAACTACCGTCAAATAAAAGTTCATACATACTTTGGACTGATTGTCATATAAATTTGTATAACATAACATATTACAACAATTACCATGGAAATGATCTGTTGAGTTGCGGCACACCGCCAATCTTGTATTCGTTAAGGGCAAATTAATAAAAAATAAATTTTTTTTTCTTCATGTAGATATATGTATATACAGAATAGTTTTTGGTAGTATCATTCTCTTATTAGAATTACTCATCTTTTTTTCAGAGTGATGAAGTTTTAGATATGATTACATATGGACAAAGAAAATCAAGAATAGAGTCATGGAATGATAATCTCAACAAAGTTGTTATGGGTATCTTGCCTCCTGGACAAAGTAAGTTAGTTCACGACTTCATGCATTGTTTATATTACCTTATTGTCATCACTTGATATATTTATTCCATCAGTAAATGGTAGGCCATAATTTTATTCCTATTTTTCCTGTTTTGGTTCTATTACGAGTTCTGGGACTGTCTGTGTTAGCCGAGTGAATATACCCCCTGCCCATAGGTTTCAGTCTCTTTACACATCTTGATATAAACTGGGCAAACAAAATTAGTTACCCTCGTATTGGTACATACACTTCTAGAGCGCCCTTAAATCAATCATACAGATAAATATTATATTTTAAAAAAAAATTTAATTATTGCAATTTTGATAGAATTTTTTTTTCAAATGATGTATTATTACTTGCAAGGTCAATAAATATATGAAAATGCCACATTCATTGAAATCAGTTATTTCTTTTCTCTCATCTACTTTTTATCTATCATTTATCTTCTGTTATCAGTGATAGAGCCGGTGGAAAGGCAAGCATCATCAATGAGCATGGGTTCTGATCAGAGAGCTGTTGAAGATACTGAAAAACAAATGGTTAATTTGGATGAAGAATTGGAAGAACAGAAGAAAGAATTGGAGAAAAAGAAAAGTAATATTGTTTTTGAGATTCAGTTTTAATATTCCTCATCGAGTAATGAATTCATGTCCAGGATGTAAATTGTAAACATATTTCGGTACTCCCGTAGTATGTGTACCAGGTTAGGCCATGATTTTATTTTGATTACCCTTATTTTAGTTCTATTAAGAGTTCCGGACTGTTTGTGTTGGCCAAGTAAATATACCCCCTGCCCATAGACTTTCCCCCTTTACACAAGTTGATATAAAGTAGGCGAACAAACTTAGTTACCTCCATATTGGTACACATACCTCTGGAGTCCACCTATTTCAAGTCCATCTATCAATAGTAAGATGTTGTTGATAAATATTTTCACACATTGCCCAAAGGACCGTACTCCCTACTGCGAATTGTTGGGTAAGAAATAATGGAATGAGCGCAAAAAATGTATCAAAATTCTTTTAACGACAATTAGGAATATACCAATAAATTCTTGTCTTATCAATGAATTATATTTTAATTGAAACTTTCTAATTGTGAATAAATTGCCCTGAATTGAGACAAAACATAACACACATGGCGCATCGTGCTAAGCATTGGGAATACGCTCGCCACCGCACCTCTGATTACCATGCGTGGCTTCGCAGGTTCGAATTCCATGCGGGGATAGTTGTGTGTGAGAGGATTGCTCGACTCCTCGCCTCCTCCTTCCTCCACCATCAAGTCCATGCTCCCAAAATAATAACTGGCTAACTAATTCCATACCCGAGATGGACTAGTAACCAGACGAAAGGCGTTTTATCGGCTTTTCTCTCCCTCAGGATAAATATGTGAATCCTATCCTATCCTATTCATATGTCAAGAAATAGTTTTGCTTTAGAGAAGGACAAGAGTCTAAAATGCTGAGGATATACGTTGCTATGCTTTTTTCTCTAGATCAAGTAAAAAGTTTTATTACTTGTTCATCTCTATCATTTAGAACTTGGAGAAGACATTGATATGGAGTCGGCTCTTGCTCAACTTCAGCAACAACATAATGCCAAGAAGCAAGTATGTTCTTTTTTGATATTACTTCTTTAATGCTTTAAATCAGAGGTTTGGGGTGGTGCTCAGTGGGTCAGATTGAATTACCCAATGAGCCCAATCAGATTTGACCCGCGGGCCGTAGTTTGCCTGTGTCAGATCTAAGCCCATAAATATGGAACTGTTAGTAGTTAACTATACCTAACTTGCAGCATTACAAACTGGACAAAAAGCCATGGTCAATGATATGATCAAACTGTCTTATTGAATTTTAAAATTCTATCCTCAGTCTCAGTCTCTCTTGACTTTCAAAAGAAAATTTTTTATAACAGTTTATTTTTTTATTATAGGCTCTTTCCTCTGATCTTGATCGTCAACGACAAAGACTTAAAGAAAAACTTGCTGCAAGGAGAGAACAGAGAGATGAAATGGAATATGAAGCCCATGCTGCTGCTGCCATGGTTTTCTTAGCAGAGCGAAGATTACATGATCAAGAACAACATCAAGCAGAAGCAAAATCAAAGCAGAAAAGTCTTGTAAGATTAATTGAATGCATTTGAAAGTTGATGCAAGGATGTCATATTTTTATTCTATTATATCAAACTTCTTGAACCTAAAGGCATTTACTTTTCTATCATAATAATCATGACGCATTAGGAAGAAATTTGATTTAATGAATATAAAGTTACCACAAGGAAAATTTTATCATATATCAACATTTAGGTACTCCCGTAGTGTGTGTACCAGGTTAGGGTTAGGCCATAATTTTATTCGATTTTTCTTATTTTAGTTTTATTACGAGTTCCTGGACTGTCTGTGTTAGCCAAGTGAATATACCGCCTGCCCATAGGTTTTGTTCCCTTCACAAAACTTGATGTAAAGTAGGCGAACAAAATTAGTTACATCCATATTGGTACACATACTTCTGGAGTGCCCACCTTTTCACTCAAGTAGTCCACATTGCATACTTGTTACTCATGCATTGATTGATTTGAATGTATATTTCGAGATAACCTATCAACATGAAACTTTTTGTGATCTTCCATTGTTTCCCAACTTCTACAGGAAACGAAAAATCTGTTTTCTATTGATGAACATCAAGATAATTGAACTTATTGCCAGATTGAAAGCACTTTGCACAAATTCAAATTTCGAGGAAAAGTCAAGTGCCTTAACGGAACTTTATGACACACTTTTTTAGTGTTATTCGCTTTATATTAGTATAGACCCAAAAATACATCTAAATATTATGTATACGACATTAGATGTTGTTTGCTTTCTGAACTTAGATGGAACAACGTCTTGAAGCAAGAAGAAAAAGAAGAAAGGAACTGGAAGCTGCAAGAAAGCTTGAAGAAGAAGAAGCAGCCAAGCAAGATCAAGATAAACCGAAGGTAAGAAAATTCGAATTCAATATGGAGATGGAGCATTACGACAGTCTATTTTATTTCATATATAGGATAGGATTTACATATTCATTCTAGGAGAGTGGAAAGTTGATAAGAGGGCTTAATCATGTGGCGAACCACGACCTTTCGTCCGGTTACCAGTCCATGTCGAGCATGGGATCAGTGAGCCAGTTATTCGTTTTCAGTTGCATGGACTTGATAGTGGAGGATGTCGTAACCGACCAGCGGTTACATGAACCATCCTACGGCAGCAGGGAATCCAGCAATCCTCGCACATTATTAATCCCGCACAGGATTCGAACCTGCGAACCTACACAGGCTAATCAGAGATGCAGTGGCAAGCTTATTACGCTTAGCATGATGCACCACACCACCAAGTGGAATGCATCTTTTGCTGGCAGATGTGGTGTCAGCAATGAAAGAAATTATGCAATGGCACAGCGGTTAGAGCATAGCCCTAACTGTATTTGCATTACAGATTAGACATCTCTGGTTCAAATACCATGTCCCTCACATCACTCTGGGTGTAATAATTTGGGTGTGTAATGCCGAACTCGAAGAGATTCCCATCTTTTGAAAAAATTGTTATGTATCAGTGGGGAAAGGTGTACAAAATATGTTTTCATATCCTTACAATATTGGTACTCTTAGTGTAGTCTTGAGTCCTACTTTATCGGGTATATAAACATTTCAATGAATAAATACTTGGGAAAAGTCTAAAGGCATCATCAAGTAATTTTTCATCAATCTAAGTCAATTATGCATATGAATTACGAGTTATCTTCCATTATTTTAATGATAAATTTAACAAGTATTGTATTAAATAAAGATTACCACATCACAGATTTAAGATTACAGAAACATCTTGAAGTTTTGTTTTTCTACCGGAATAGAAATACTAGCATGCAACTTCTTGTGTTTAATATTAGTTTTTTATTTTTTCGTTACAAAACTGATTTATATGAAGGGAAAATCAGCAGGATGAAGAAACATAGTCATAGACAATACATAACCACAAAACTCTATTTTTACAAAAAAAAACCTTCATATTTCTGTTCAACTTTCAGTCGAAGATGGCTCCACCAATGGGGTTAGTGCGAGAGAAGACAGTTGTCGATGTCCAAATCTCAAATGAAGAAAAAGAAAAAATGTTACAAGAAATGAAAGAAATCAGTGATAAAATGTCTGCTAAACTTGCTTCTGACAAAGAAAGAGCTCGGCAAAAGGTTAAACTTTATCTTGTGTAGGGCATACAACATACCAAAATGGAATAGTATAGCTGCAAACACATACATAGAAGCATATATATGTTAAGAATGGTATATATGAGTTCTAAACTCTAGGATTCTAACTTTTTGAATTTAGGTATTTTTCTTTCGTATTTCTCATATTTCTTCTCCAGGAATGGCATAAGATTTTTTTGTTATTGAATCTGCGATACTTTGAGTCAAAACCTCATTTGTATTCACATGAACTTCCCCAATCGTCAATCTGATTTTGCTGGTGCACCATTAGGGTTTAATATATATTGGTGTAGCTGTTAGCTTTTTGGTGGTCGCCATTTGCTCTTTGTTCAAGGTTGGGTATCCTGTACTCCAGTAGTGTGTGTACCAACAGTTAGGGTTAAGCCATAATTTTATCCTGATGTCCTTATTTTAGTTCTGTTATGAGTTCGGGGACTGTCTGTGTTAGCCAATTGAATATACACAATGCCCATAGGCTTCAGTCCCTTTACACAACCTGATGTAAAGTAGGCAAACAAAATTAGTTACCTCCATATTGGTACACACACTTCTGGAGCGCCAGGTATCCTTTACTTATCAGTAGCTAACATGGCTTTGCTTCTGGCAAATTCTCTGTCTGGTTCCATTCTTAAATCTTATATATCAACATATATATTTTTTATAAAAGGTCCAAGAGAAGCTTCGTGACAAAACTGCAAAGAAACGAGACAGGGTTGATAAAATATTTGCTAATTTTGAACGAGAGAAAACAATTGTTCTTGAAAAGAAAGATCGTGAATTGGAAAGACAGAAGACTATGTTGCAAGATAGAATGCATAATATTAGAACTGGAAAAACTAAAACCATGAAAGAAAAAGGAGATCAGTAAGTATAGCAATACAATTTTCTCCAATAGTCTATTTCAGAGGATGGCAACCTATGGCCCGCGGACCAGATACGACCTGCAAGGCTCCACTGAATTATAGCGACAAAATGGAGGTTTTGGCCAAAACCAAATTTTTTGTTATAGCTAATTAGCTCAAACAATTTGTTGAGATTGCAATTAAATTTAGTTTTGGCACGAGGCTTATTTATCCACTTCAGCTTTTGTAACATTCTAAATATTGTTCATAAAATGTAACTTTTTATGTCACACTTACATGGCCCGCCAGTCCAGGTTGGCCCCTGGTCTGAAAACGTTGCCCACCCCTGGTTTAGCATGCCTTGCATTGAATATGTCATCCTGTGCCCTGAATAGTTTTTAGAATTATTGATATGAGAAATTGAAATCAACAGATTTGTTCTGCTAGTTTAGTTGGTTCCTGTTGTTTGATTTTCTTCTGTATATTGTGATATTTGGAGGTTTACCATGTTTAGGTAAAAATTACATTGCTTTTAGGAGAGACTTATTATGAAATGTTAAAAATGCGTAATATCGTCTTTTTCAGAAAAGTTCGAGATTTTGATAAGCTTGTGAATCCTGAAGTATCGGAAGGAATGTCAAAAGATGAAAAAATGGCACTCGCCGCTGAAAATCTACAGAAGAAATTTCTAGCTGAAAAGGTTTATTATTTTTATTTTTTTGGGTTAGAAGCATTCAAATTTTTCTGCAATTATTAAAATGTACGTACACAAAAACATGATCTTTTCTTAGCAATTAATCTATCATGTAATAAGTTCCAGAGTATTATATACCAAAGTAATATCATGTATTGAGTTATTATTCGGATCTGAGTTTAGTGATGTGCTATAGCTATTAAGTAAAATAATTATTAGATAATAATATTAAACACCTACAGATTTCATGCATATGTATTTCCACTTTTCCACTGTAATCAATAAGGCTGTATTGTTGCTTTGAAATTTTTATAACATTTTTGTTTCACACTTTTTGCCAATTAGAAATATATGGCTTGAAGAGTGGAGTACGGTATATCTAGGCTCACCATACGACACGGTTTGGCCGGGACTGTCCCGGTTTGACATGCTGTCCCGCCCGGTAGACTCAAATGTACCGGTCATGTAGTATGGCAGTCATAAATTTTTTATTTATTCATTATCAATACAAAATTATTTTTTTGTTAATGGAAGCAGTCCATTCATCACGGATTTGCGACTCATTTCACTAGTTCAGTGAGAGTGAGAACTACTATATTATTATGTCATAATTATTTTATGTTTAATACATCAAGTTAGCTGTAGTGCCGTTAAATTTTTAAAATTCCCAAAAGAAAGTGCACGTTTTTCAATGATTTGAATATTACTAAGCCTAGGAATCGGACCAAGGTTTGTCAGATCCGCACTGTCCCGGGTTTTTGTTTTAAATATATGGTAAGCCTAAGTATATTATTGATTTTAAATCAGAATTACACACAGAAAAACAGTGACATGCAAAAATGGCTTGTTAAAAAAAATTTGCTAATACTGATAATAATATTTGAAAACATTAGGCCTTGCATTGCATAAAAAATTTCAATTTGATGAGAAATATGTCGATGGACTCGCATTCAAGACAGGTCACTGATATATTACAATGCTGCAAAATATAAATTTTTCTTAGGCAAAAGATTTAAGTTCAGTTCTAGAGGAAGAAGATGAATATGGAGATTCGTTTTGTAAGAATCACTGCGTTTCATAGATATTTGTTTAGCACTCTAGTTAGCTCATATATTCCAACTAAACTCTTCTTCATGTCTTTTTGACTATTTAGCAAATACACAATTTCTTACTTCTACTTGCAATTCTAACAAAGATTCATTTTTCCACATTTTTAGCATTTGTTAGTTTTCAAAGCTATATTCCCTTTTCCATTTTTTTCATCTGACAATCGTTTGTACTTTGAATATATATGTAACATCAGTAGTAGATTATTTACTTTTTCTTAAAATACAAAATCAGTTTTCACATTTACCAGTTTTCACGTAACCTTACTTCAAATTGAAAACAACTTTGTGGCATTTCCTTCATACTTTTTCTCATCTAAGCCATATTTTTTCAACACAATTCTGACATATGACTCTTTTTTGTAGTGAGTTATTGACGAAAACGTGTTTTTTATTTTGTCCGAACGCTCGGCAATCTGCCTGAGTGTTGTATTTTATGTTCTCAGTACGGTAATTTATGTGTCTGGAGGACCTAATACAATAAGAAATGTACATATTTAATTTTATATCCTCCAAGTATTCGAGATTCGATTCGAAAAAAATATTCGATTCGATTCTGAAACCATCAGGTATTCGAAAATGCCCAGCCTTAGTCAATCATTGGTAATATATGATTTTTGAACAGAGAAAAGGTGGAATTGCAACCAGATTTTATGGCAAACTATGTTCTCTTGTCTAATTATTAATAAAGGTTGGGTCTGTCTTAATCTATTGAGTTCTTACACACCTAGTTGGAGAGTGGGGGAAGCCATAGCCAGCTAGCTATTACATGATTTACTCTACAACAGCGCAGATTTTAGTAATCTTTTTTTCACATAATTATCTATTATGGAAATGAACCTTCAAACTCATCTATAGTGAGTCTGAGTTGTGATTTATTTTGTTGATGCACTGAATGTGTATGTCTCTATGATCTCTATGGGTTTTCCAAAGAACTAAATTTTCCACTTCTATTCTTGAAAATTTTGTCCTCTGGGACCTTAGAAACTTCCAGTAAGATCAGTTTTTGATTTCGATACGTAATATGTTGTTTTTCTTCAATTCTGTGAAAAACTTTTTTATAGCATGTTACATTACTTCTGTGATGATAGACTTGGATATAATGTGACTATAACTAACTATTGGTTGGAGTTTTGTTTCAATCTTTATATAATTAAGACAATCTTTACAATTTCCTTCTAGGAAAAAACAATGATAGCGAGTCAAGATACCTTGGAAACAAAGAAAACTGATGATGAAAATGACAACAAAGCAGATGTCGGTCTCCTTTCTCAAGATGATGCAAATCAGGTTTCCTCAGATCATTCTGCTTCTCCAAGGTCTGTAAGAATGACAAAAGAAGAAAAAGAAAAGAAAATGAAACAAAGAATGAGCATTAAAAAGAAACAGAAGCTGGAAGAAGAATCTCGTACATTAGAAAATGCAGATGAAGATTCTCAGATAGAGTTTTTGTAATTTTTATTCAATTTTAGTACCTTTTTCATCAGCAGGTATGTCAAACAACAAGAAGCACTTTTTTTCTCATACTATTTGTATGTCTCAGAAGTATTTTTGAAAATTATAAATTGTATTAGTTGTTATGTTTCACTGCAGTATATTTTGAATATTGGTAATTTAATCGCTGTTTCCTCATGATAGTACTCACTGTAGGTATAATCCACCACTGTTTTTGACAAATGTTTTGACCATGTTTCTTAATTTTTATTCATGATATGAAATATCGTGAGAGTGTGAGCTTAAATCTACTTTAACTTAAGTATGTTTTCACGCTAATCTTGTTGAAAGTAATGCATTTGCTAGTAGAACACTAAACAATCACGATTTGCATAATTATGGTAATCATTTCTCTACCTTATATTTTTGGTGCTTGAAAGTATTTTCGATTTATATACATCTATAAGAATTCGTTATATTTTTGAAACTTATGATTATACAGTCATATAAATATATTTCTCTCTGAAAATTAATTATAATTAAAGAGCTAAAAAACTTTTTCATTTTTGGGTTTATGTTCAATTTCTGAAACCGTTTTTCTTCTGTCTGATAAAACTTCCCGTTGTTAAAACAATATTTTCTGAAATATTTGTCTGCTAATTTTTTTTTAAAAACTTTTCGTAGACTTTTCACCTAATGTAGCGGATTTTTTGTGTATGCTCGTCCAAATATGATAGCGTGATACACTGCATTAATTACATATTTCTTACACTACATATTCCTCAGAATGTAATCAATATATCTATTTTAATACTGATGTTCCAAACTGCAATATTAGAAGTTACACATTTTTGAGGCGTTATCTTCAAAGCTAAGGTATGATTGATCGAACACTTTGCACTTGATAAAATATATATTTGCAATCAAGATATGGTGTGCTGGTATGAGTATTTTAGAATACAGGTATTTAAATATTAGTGATCAGTGATATTCAAAGCAAGACTTCATGTTTACGGCTTGAATAGAAGTAGCCATAGGACGGCTTAAGACAGTGGTTCCCAATTGTTATGTGTCTACAGACCGCTTGTGCTTTTCCCAAGTGACCGCGGACCCCCACAATTTTCAAACCGAAAATACAATAGAAGAACACTATGGCAGTTGAGTTATATGATATCTCCATTTATGAAAAACGCTTTTATCCGCATTTCAATGCAATTTGAGAAACGAATGACTTGAGCTCACAACGTTTCTGAGGCTACATATCATATTACGGATTTCCGAAGTTGCAATTTGTGCATTATCAGTTTTTCGCTTTTTTTCACCGCGCAACCGAACAACAAAAAGCGCCTTGCCATTGTGACACAACAATCGCTATCCCAAACTTTCAGTGTTGTGGATCCCGTGAAGAGGTTGACTATTATACAAGGAGCCCCGCAATGAATTTATAAATATAAAAACACATTGTTACCGATTAAAGTTCCTGAGTATATTGAAACTACTTTATTTAGTAGTTAAGGCTTAATCATGCCATTTTCTTCAATCGAAGTTAAGCCTAACTTAGATAGTCTTTGTCGTATTTTCGCTGTCTAGCCATTTTGCTGCTAATAGAATGAATGTGAAACTTAAATAATTTTAGCTTAAAACTAATATACAAGAGAACAAGGCTCAAATATATGGACACGGAAACCAAAACGAAGCAGCACCAAATCTTTTACAGCACCGGTAGTCTGACGGGATCGCTCAAATACGGTCACGGAAACACGACACGGTGCGAATTTCTTTAATTTTGTTTACACCATCACATAGAAATTTAAAGTAAAAAACGAATTCCATATAGCCCACAGGAATTTTTGAAATGAATAAAATGGCAATTTTTCTTTCATCAAATAAAAAACGATCGTTTTTATAAAAATATCTCATCCGGGCTGTGTTTTTTTACCAAAAGCACATACATTATGGCACTGCGACGTAGCTGCACCCGTGTAAATTATACCGCAGTTACAATTGTAACAACAAAGCTATATAAAGAATGCGGCGTATGACCACCTAGTCTTAGTGCGAAAGCTGAATAAGTCTTGAATTCTTTACTGCTTAAAATATTCTCTCTTCAAACCACATTTGGTTTCGCACGTATGCAATGTCATAGTTAGTATGGTATGTCAGAGATGCAGAAAGTCGAGAATAATCGAAAGTTATGAAGCACAATTTTTATACCGTAAAAGTCCATGATCAGGTGTAAAATCGCCTGAAAATGTGTACAAACTTATCTACACGGTTACATTGCCAAAGTTCCACAACATCAAAAGTCAGAGTCGAGTTATGAAAGATTTTGAAATTCTGATGCTTAACTGTTCCTGATTATTTTCGCTAGTTTATAATCTCTTTTACCCCGCAAAACACACTTCTATAAAGAAAACACATTTGCAAAATTATAATTTTCATTACATTCTTTCAAATCGGTACCGGTAAGTGCAGATACTTTAACTAAGGAAGCGCTTCATTAATAAATTTAATATGGCGTGTTAGTGTGGCACTAAAGAGAAATTAGCATAATATGGCGTGACAAACAAACATAAACACAGTGCGGTAAAGAATGCAAAGATTGTGTTGCAGCAATTGAGAAAGAACCTATCATTCCTTTCTAAGGCGTCAACGAGTTCCATGTTTCATCCTGCACCTAAGAACCGAACAAGTTTTCCGGCACTGGGCGAATTGGGTCGAGTTTTATTTTACAAAAACAATTGGAAGGGCAACGGGTGACCTGATTATGGTTACGCTTGTAATACACGGTTTTAATTGTCTTCCATACAAAAGCCTAACACAAAGGGGAGGGATTGTAATAGTTATGCTTAAAAGACAAAACGTCAATTTAATTGTATCAGGATTGTATTTATATGTTAATTACATCTCCAATGGCCATTTTTTGAATTATAACCTCTTATAACTGGTTACGATTGGGTAAATGAAATAAAACTGAATAGGCATATACATTTTGCAGTGTACCAAACAGACTACGTCGATTTGTACATGACATCAATAAGATGGATCCTCCAATGTTTTGCAACCTATAAACAGGGGTATAAAAGCAGGCAGTTAAAAGTTAGGCGACTTGATTCGACAAGGAAAATTAATCTCATAATGGCGGTATAGCAAGTGTTTTACAACAATATGCATCATGCAGTAAAATTGAACTAACTTGAAGATGATATGGCAGAGTTAATCAGGATTTCACGCAAGAAGAATACAATTATTTTTCTACATCTACTTGAATATACTAGTAAAAAATTCTGAATGAATTGTCTAGTATTACAAAATACTTACACCAACCGAAAAAGGGCCTGATATAATATGCAAAACGGCGACAATTGCACTTTAGTTGAAGTAGGTCACTGAATTCTGCAAATTGAAAAATTTAGGAATATCGCGAAGTTTGGACAACGAAAATTATATAAATTGGCTGTGCAATGTTTAGCATCTGCTTCAACTGAAATTACAATTGCTATATTAAGCGAAACATGCGTTGGATACGTAACTGGCGGACAAGTATAAGCAAAATAGTTTTTCATTGTTGATGTTCCTAAAGAAAAAGCAAAATATGAACAGTACATTATCATGCGGTGATAGGATCGTATAAAATTCCTGTTCTTCGAAAAAATGTGTCGCGGACGATCCGAGATCGACCAAATTGAGGTGCATGAAATTCTTTCTGAACGTCATCTAGTCGCCATCCATATTCCCAAGATGTCGTCAAAGGGTATTCGTACTTGTCTTCTGGTTTTTTCAACTTCCTGGTTTGTAGATATTGATATCGACCTCTGCCCTCTTTCGTGAAACCGTGATAAAGAAGATTTCGAACTCCTGTGTATATAAAAGTATTTTCCAAATAGTATAAAATAGTTTTTTTTTTTTTTATAGGCAATAATTGAAATGTTTGACACCTCATAGAACTATGCTCCAATATATTGGACTATTCATACGCTGATGAACATTTCTAGTAGCACAGCATATGGCTCAGATTGCCGAACCAGCTGCACATAGACATAGATTTATCTAAAACTTATATTACGATGATCACACAAAATAAATACTTTTAGAAAAGAAGAAACCCCTGAATGTAGTTAATAATATTTAGAATTTACATGCTCCATCATCATCTGAAATAAATGCATAGAACAATATGTATTTCTGTCATAATCTACAGTTCTGTAAAGTAAAGGATAGTGTTTTCATAACTTTTGCACCAAAGAAAATCGGATGAATGTTCTGAAACAAGGAAATGCATGTGCACATTCAAAGCATGAGCATGTTTGTTGCTACATTACCTCTAAAACAATCACAGTAGACAACAAGTGTTCAAGGTATTACCTAGAAATAATTTTTCCATACTATTGGATGAAAAATGGTTGTAAATGGTTACAAGCCAAGGTTGAATGTGCAGTAGTCATAAATGACATTGATCATTTTGTCACCAAGTCATAAGCAACAGCTCAATGCATGGATCAACAAAGAATATACCAGGCACTTAGAGAAACACTGAGAAATATGAGTTTAACTGTCCTCATTCAAAAGAATTTTTACTACCTAATGTATCTCAGATGTTCATTAAACACTATCTTTCTGTATTGTTTGAATTTCATATAAATGCCATGATAAATCAATAAAGCAGACACAAGAATGACATTAAACAGACTGAACAAATGTTTGTTTTACCAATGGAATGAAGTGTCGAACTTAGATTTCTGTTTACTTTAAATAAAATAGGTGAGATCATATTGCTGCATTTTATGATTTGCGGTGAAGAGATTTTTAAAAGTATAAAAGAAACATTTCAATTTACAACATGATAATGCCACAGATATTTTATACAAGGTGTGATAAATTATATCCTGCATATTTTATGAACATGACAAAAACATGGAATTTGTTTTACCAATGTAAAATACCCTTTCAAAATAATAATTTTGTACAATGCCACTACATATGCCTCACACAAATATACAGTGAACATTTTTGAAAAAATTAAAATTAGAATTAGTGAATCAAAACATTTGTTCTTAAACTTCTAATGAGAATGCTTCAATTTACAACAAAAGTACTCCTTATCCCAGATGCTTTATTAGTGGCATTATTTGACGATGATAGAATTGAAACTTTGCAAAGTATCAAATGGAGAGAAGCACAACAAAAAATTAAGAATATTAGTTACTTACCTGGCGTAACTGAGCGCATTTCAACGAGAAGAGCATTTGGATCTTGACTGTTCCTGGCTGTGACCATGTTTATGGCAGCAAGCGTTGGTTTCTTTTTGGGATACGAAATAACAGGCAACGTGAGACTTCTTGTGGGTGGTTTTGGTACCATTTCTGTGAGTTTCTTTGTCCTGTGGAGTTTCTTTTCCTCTGTGCTATCTCTACCAAATTCTGCACTATATTTTTCATGCCAAGCCAATCTGACATAGGCTTCTTTTTTGATAGCTTCTTTCCAGAAGTTTTGACGTTGGGTATCCATGTTTAATTCGCGACCCATCTTGCTTTTTAACAGCCAAGGTACAAAATAAAATATATATCAGATCTATATGTAAAGAAAAACAACATAATATTCAATAAAATGACAGCAAAATAAATTGTCTTATAAAGTGAAAATGATCCATAACACAGAATTCATGAAATTCTGAAAAGTGATCAAAACCTCATTTATTCCTTTGAATAAGGTCTTTCATAGACCAGTTTTTGGATATGAATTGTACATGAGGATTATTTTTCTGAATTCTTGGTACTGTCTTGAGGATGATTGTTGATGATTGTTGGGAAAAATTATTTTTCTCTGAAATTATACTATTCGATTTTGAATTTCCGTACTTAGGGATGGAAGAAACCGCTAGGAGGCTATTAATTCATTTCTAAAATTTCCTCAGTACAGTAGAACCCAATATTCTACCCCAAATTTTGCTGTTTTGTTTTAGTTGAAAATGAAAAGAATACTTTTATATTCCACCTAGGTGACCAGCTCCATCACACTTGTCTGTTATTATTTTCATCAAACTCGGTGCTCCAAGGCAGCGGTTTACAAAATTGTGTTAAACATAACTAATATATAATTGAATATTTTGTATATTGTATAAATTATAAATTTTCATTGTTTTTTTTCATTGCTTTGCATATGAATCAATAAATTCATGACTTTTCTATGTTGTCTACTCTCTGTTACACAGTTGCCTCTATTGTTACCTTGCGCTGCAATTTCGCAAGCTGCAGTTTATTTATCTGTTGAACCGAGTTTAGCAAACATGAGTAATTTTTTGGTATTTCAAAGGAAAATCAGGCAGAAATGAAGTAGAAGAGTTAAAAGTTGCTTTTATTCTTCAGGCCTTAATGTTTTCAAACATTAAAACGCATAAAGTACACATTAACGCCCACAAAATTGAGTTTTATTTAAAGGCAGCAATTCTTTTTCTGTGTGAGTGTGCTATGAGTTTTTTCCCTGATAATTTTTGCGCCACACAAACAAAAAGTTTGGGGACCACTGCTCTAAGGCCTTATTATACCGCTACCAAAGTGCAACCATATTATACACTTTATTTGGCTAGCAATGTCTGCAATATTATATGGTAGGACGTTTTTAATGTTGAAGAAGGAAGGGGAGAGGAAAGTCTATACGATTGCCTAATCATATGACGAACAGAGGTTCGGTGGCAAATGTATTCCTAACGCTTAGCACAGTTCGCCATCTTTGCAAAGTTCTAGAAAAATACACATTTAAATAATGCAGTACAATTTTGCAATGCAGTTCACATGATTCTCTAACCCAGTGACCAGAAAAGTATAATAGTGTGCGAATAGTGCGAATAGTAGTAGTACTAGTACTAGCTATAGGCCTAGTAGTACTAACCCAATGTCGAGTAAATCGTGTCAAGTACTTTTCCAATACAGCTACCAACGAAAAAACGATGTAATAACCAGTAGCTGACTCCATGGAAAATTTAGCTTCAATGTTGTTGCTATGATACGAAATCGCTATAAGAAACTCAGCTACATGCATGAGTGATTAATAGGATTTACCCGTTTATCCCGTGAAAAGGAAAGCCGATAAAACGGCTTAATAACGTGGCGAACCACCGCCTCTTGCCCGGTTACCAGTATGATTGGGACCCCGGGAAATCCCGATCCCGAAATCCCGGGATTTGGACTGTTTTTTTCAACCCCGATCCCGCAATTATTTCCTAAAAATCCCGAGATTATAAGATTTTGTTATTCAAATATGGATATTCTCACAAATGATAGGTTATACCGTAGTAGTATATATTTACAGTTATATCAATTTACCGTCCACGCTTACAGTTTGAGTAACAACTGTCCACGCTTACAGTTTGAGTAATACCAGGTATATTAGTCGTTGGTCAGACCGTAGATTTTACTTGTTATGCATTGTCTCTGGTCAGACTAAGCAGAATTATTGTGCGAAATTTTTCTCAATTGTACTAAGGAAATATTATTCGACTAGTAGAATTTTCATTATTGACGACTCATTTAATCATAATTTGAACTTAAAATAGCATTCAGGATTTACGCAATGACTTTGTGCGTTTTTATTCAATCAATCAATCACTATTTAATACGAAAATAAAACAGCCACATTAGAAAAGTGAAATCAAGAATGGCAACCATCGTTTTAACAAATATCCGCATTCCGGCGTCAGAAATGATCATATTTTCAGCTTAAAATTGAGACAGTTAATTCATAAACTGTGATAAAAAAAGATTAAAGCTGAATTAAAAGTTAAAAATCGGGATAAAATCGCGAATTTAACCCGATATTTAACAATTCGGTAAAATTATTCGATTCGATAAAAATGTACTATTCTGCCCACCCTTGCGATCTGAAATCACGCCAATAATCTGGTGAAACGCGTGGTAGTCCAAACACTGATGCAATGAAACTTAATAAATCCTTCATAAATTTAGTAAATTGCACTACTTCACGAAAGCGTGATGGAATTGACGATTATTACATATCTGGAACACAAAAACGGTTATCTTTTCAGATAGTTTCTGCGGCCTGAGAAGTCGAATAAGCGTTTCGACATGGTAAATGATCTATGATCTTTGTCATCAAATTATGACAAATATCGTTGTAATGAAATACAGTTTGTTTGTCACTTCCATTTCTCTCGCCAGTATCGGCAATAACACTATTGAATGATTTTGGCAATGGGAGAAACATATTGAATTGTAACAAAAATGAATTAGGTTGTAAATAAGTGAGAATACATGTGACAAGCAATAAGGGCGTAACGTGGAAGGGCGAGCAAAACCGAAGTGCGTGATCAGCGGTGCGTCTGAAGACCACGTATTACCCGTGCGGCCGGGCAACTTTTACAATAATGTGAGGTGCTCCGAAGACGCTCTCGTTTACATTAATGTAAGAAAACAGTTGTAATATCGGTAACTATCAACCATTTGTTTTCGTTCGACTATCGCACTCTTTATGAGTAAAAAATTTTCATGTTTTGTGTGCCACGGATATTTAAAGAGTTAGTAAACACATTATATAAATATCGAACCGTATAAACATACGTGATGTAGATATAGTTGGATGTATGTCGATACAAAAACGAAACCAGAGATGGTCAAACGTATTGCAATTCAGGCTTTATGCAACATAAATAAGGATAAAACAACGCAAACCGCGATCTATTTTGATTAATAATACTTCAATTGCATCTGAATTTTATGAATTTTAATGTTCGAAAGATCACATTTTCAAGACCAGCGGTTTTTGTCACGACATTCAATAATCAACCATAATTGAATAATTTCTTTATCATGTTTTTGAAATACTCATTTTGCAGAAGTGCAGCAAACCTATGAATGTGTTGTAATGATTTTTAAAATCACATTGCAACTTGTTGAATCTTGCATACAAAATGTAGCAAATTTTTATGAATTTGTAATATCGTAACTCCTATTTTATCTGCCAATAGTATGTGATTGCAAAGAGGGGAAAATGCGTGCTAACGAAATATCGTTTATATCCCTGCGAACAAATTTACTGTTAATCCATGGATATCATTTAAATTTTCTCAATCACCTTAAATCAATCTCCAAGCGATAGAGATAATTTTGGCGGTCTAGTTTACATTTACTGGAAAAAGATTACCAAAGTAACTACGGTAATTAAATAACTCCTTGTGCTGTTAAAAAAAAATCATTTCTCTTGCCAATCTGATTAGTCGACTTCTGGGTATATGATGATACCGTTGATTACGCTGCGCATAATGAGAACCAGACATAATGCAGAAATTTTACTCAATGATTCTGAGAGCTGCTCAACCGTGATGAAACGGACAAACTTGCTGTAATAAATAAATGACTGCTTTCAAGAGAATTATATATTATATGTATATTCACACATGAATCTACACGAGTTTAGCAGTCTACTGCAAAATTATGTTTCAAGAAAAATGCTTGAAAAATTACACAATTTAATAACTCACTGAACAGGTAGTTCGCAACTAAAAATTCTACTGTCCCGAAAAGCGTAGTAGCGGCTCTATGTGACGGTGGCTGATTGCTGAAAAGCTTGTTTGAAGGAAAGGTTGAAACTGGGTCATAAAATAGACCCTAATTAAATATCATAAAAGAATAAAAACGTAAATAGAAATAAGATTAGTATATACAACAAAACAGCAGTTGAAAACAAGTGATCAGGCCAGTGTCCCCCCTCATCAAACTGAGTGTGACATGTTAAAACAAAAACTGTTCACACTCAAAATATTTTTTTGGAAAGGCGATATCCTTTGATTGAACTCAATATCTCCATTTCAAACTAGTAACGCCTTAAAAACTTCATGTTGACCGTATTTTTTTTAACTAGATTCCGACATAAATTTAAAATCTCAAATAGCGGAACATGGACAGATTAATATTAATATATTAGCAAAAAAACACCAACCCAGCTTTCAAATGGCATTTAGTTGTAGGCCCTAATTTGACCAATATTGTTCAAAATATGGGAATGATTCGAATTGGCTGTGGTTGCTACCGATGGATTTTATAAATAAGAATAGTAAGATGGAGAAGTAAATCAATTGAGTTTTTCTAAGAAAAGAACATGATTCACAAAACAATTTCAAGGAAAAAATACAAAAACAGAGCAGTAACTCTTTTTGGCAGTATCTCATTAACATATTGAGCTGATCTCATTGGGGTAAACGAAGGAGTAACCGAAGCGTAAATAAAAAGCTCTAGAAGTATGTGTACCAATATGGAGATGACTAAATTTTGTTTGCCTATTTATATCAAGTTGTGTAGAGGGGAATAGGCACTTGGCTAACACAGACAGTCCCCGAACTCTTAATAGAACTAAGATAAGAAAAAATCAGCATGAAATTAAGGCCTAACCTGGTACACATACTACAGGAGTACCTATATTGGAACACACTACCTGCTTAAAAATCAAATAAAAGAGGAACTATTATCATTGAGACTTACTGAATCAAATTGCGCGACATATTGTAACAAAAAAAGAAATCCCCTAAATATATGAATAAAGGGGATCATTTTTGAATCAATATTTACATAAAGTCATTTGAGTCAAGCAAATGAATAATTCACAGTTTGGTTAAGTGTATAATAGTTTGTCCAGATGGTAAATTTATTTTTCGCAACAAATCTCTACAGTCAGCCATTTTCGCAATGTTACTGCATATTAAACCTCTGCTGTTGCTGTTGCATTGTCATCATACGTGCCCCCTGCATGCCAGGATGCCGCACTTGCTGATTCTGAACAAATCCAGAAGCCATGTTTTGTGGTGTCTGACGCATTCCTGTATTCATGTTTTGCATTCTTGGACGCTGAATATTCTGCCCCATGTTGTTACCGCTTTGAAGAAGCGTCCTCAATTGTTCATGAGATCCAGGACCTGACATTTGACCCACCTGGCGTACTTGATTCTGCTGCTGTTGAAATCTCATTCTTATTTGCTGCCTCATAGGGTCATTATTTTGGTCTATTTGCTTCTGAACTAAATTTCTTTGTGGATTAATATTATTCTGGTACATAAACTGCTGATTTGCAGATTGTTGCATATGTGGCTGATTTATGCTGTTCTGTGTAATCTGTTGTTGTTGTTGTTGTGTTTGCTGTTGATTTATCATCATCGCTTGCTGATTGGATATCTGACCCGTGTTTTGCATCCTCTGACCAGGTCCAAAATTCATTGTTCTCTGGGGCTGAGAAGATTGCATTTGCATACCTCCTCTCACTTGAGACATACCGGTATTCATTACGCTTCTTGTCATAGACTGCTGTTGCATAGTATTCATAGTCGGTCTCATGTTGGGATTTGAACTAGGCACATTGAACTGGTTTGGTGCCATTGAATGAGTATTGCCCTGCGGTTGAAATGAGCTCAAGCCTGACATTCCTCCACCCTGATCCACATTGCCTTGAAGTAACTGTTGTGCACCAGGATTGTTTGGCCGAGACTGCGTTGGTTGGCTAGGATTATGTCGAGCTATTACAGATCTGATTGTTTGTATAAAATTATGGGGATCAAGTGGAAGAACCCCAAAAAATTGAGAAGTTTTTTGTGAATATATTACTAGCATAACTTTATTTTCTGCAGAATTTTGACTCGGAGAAGGTATCTGGATTAATCCCATCCACTTATTTTTCATAATATTTGCCAGTTGTTGCATTTGGTCAAGTGGGGACATTCGCAAACTGACAGAAATATTATTCTTCATTTGATTTTTCATTGAAGTGAATACAATTTGAGGAATAAGTTGCATGTTCAGTTTGGTTGGCCACAGGTTTGCATTCAATGATTCATCTGATTGAGTTGAGCGCAACAATACCTTGCATTGGAGAGTGTGGTTAGTTCTTGCAGTTCCTTGAATTCCTTGTGCTATTTTTCTTTTTTCGGTCCATTCTAGAATGCCATCCCATGTTATCCTCATGTTGTCTGTTGGCTGTCTTGTAGCAGGTTTTGGAACATTCCCAGTGTTAAGATATGTTGATGGTAGCTCTTGCCCATGATTTAAAAGGTGGGTTGGTTGTTGTGCTGAACCACCAATGCCCATGTTTCCAGCTTGTTGTTGAATTGGATTATTCATCTGATGCATAGTAGTGACATTTCCTTGAATCGATCCTGATTGCTGAGAGGGCATAGATGAATTGAAACTCTGACGAATGCCACGGTTTGGTGGGAAAGAATTTGATGATGAAGTAAATGTATTAATATTGTTTGACAAAATTTGTTGATTACTTTGCATTCCGGAATTTAATGCATTAGGAGTACTGTACGGCTGCGCCTGCTGCATGTTTGAAGGTACAGAAGAGAATGTATCACCTATGCGTTGAGTTATTTGTTGATTTCCTAATCGTTGCTGTTGTTGCTGGTCTTGCATGGATACATTCTGCTGTTGAGTTTGTTGGTTGTACATTCCATCAGAATTTTCAGGAATAGTGGCCGTTATTCCTCCCATGCTGTTTGTAACCATGTTGACACTACTATCTGAGGGTTGTGGGAACGAAGTAACATTGGAAATAGGTATCTGCGTATGTGACGAATGTGCATTTGGTTGCAGCATGTCCTTAAGATTTGTGGTTCCCACATTGCCAGATCCATGAGACATGACGCTGTTGTTAGATGCCTGACCAAGAGATGATCTGGAATAAGGAGAGTCATTGCCAGACTGTAAAATATTTGAGTTTTTAGAATTGGTAAAATTCATACTCATATTAGACTGCTGCGGTTGAGGTTGAAGATTTTGGCTTACAGAGAAGCTTGGCAAACTTGTTTGCAGCTTTCCAAGAGAAGTTGAGTTTAAATCCTGTGCTATCTGTGTTCTCATTACAGACTGCCCTGAAGGTAATGAGTTCTGATTTGTATTTGTGGATGCTGCACCTGTATTGATTAGCTGTCCAGGCTGAGATTGTGGTACTGAAGTAGAGAAAAGTGAACCGGGAGATGATGCAATAGAAGTTAGTTGTGTGTTGTGAGTAACTGTGGTAGATGATGCAGTTTGATGTTGAGATGGACTTGGAATAGAGGAAGAACTTGTGGCAGAAATTGAATTCAATGTGTTATTTTTCGATGCATTTTTTGAATGATTTTGCTCATCTTTGATATTGAGTTTCACAGGATCACGCTCTGTAGGAAGTTGAAATCCGCTGATAAGAACAAGATGTCTTGGATCTTGAGCATAATTCATAGATGGAAGTTCATTTCGATTAGCAGAAATGAATAAGTCCTTGAGAGACCTAATTTGTTGCGGAGATATCACTGAGAGATGAATACCTTTAGTACCCATTATTTCTGCTAGCTTGCCAGCAGTGTGACCATTGTACATATAAGCTTCACTGCATGGAATATCATAAGGTGGAGAATTGCAAACCAAAAAACATACTTGCATGGAACGTTCATGGTGACGCCTTTGGGCAAGTTCATCAAACAGCTGTAGGGTCCTCCCAAGACCTTCAGACACAAGGCTAGATCGTTCACATCCTCCACCAGAAAATGAAATGGAGTTCAAACTGTGGGAAAACTCCCAAGGGCTTTGGGTGACATTTGAGCATCTTGTTACTAAATCAGGGGCACAGTCTGCAGAACTGAAGAGAACATAGCCAAACTGACTGTTGCCGTGGTTACCAACATAATCTAATGGGGATGGCTGTCTTCCGTTAAAATATTCAATTGCTGGCCCTATATAAGACTTCTTTATCTTTTCCCAATGTGATAGCATATTGGCTGTTGCTTCAACCACAACAATAAAATCAACAACTGTTGGATCTTTCGATGCAACCATGTTTAAAGGATGTGATGTTTCAAGCAATCGAGAAATATTCAGAATATAATTCAATTATAATCAAGCTGTGAAATTGAGGTAAGTATTGCATAATGTTATAACAAATAGATTGAAAGTCTAATAAATTAGCACCTCTCTCAGTTTGTAAGTGAAATACAATTTAGAAAACGATAGTTCCATAAATAGAATCGATTTGAAGCTGTGGAGTTAGTTATCATAGGAACATGGTACAGTACAGGCAACTCAAAGCTGAAACAGGTGTTTTGGGATCCTTATGATGGCAAGAACTTCTTTTAATGGAATTTGTAATTTCTTATGATGGCAATACTGTATTATCCATCTATATACCAAGACAAATAATTGCGCTCTTGAATTTCGATGGCTGTTGTACACTAACAATATTATAGTCATCAAATAACAGAATAATATTGTCATCAAACTAGCTTTGAATTTGGTAAATGCAATTTTGAATTTGAGCAACAGTTTTATCTATATTAATGTTTGTTATTATTTTGCTGAAAATTACACAAAAAAAACATAAGACTAGTGAATAGGATTAAAATAGCATCTACAGGCCTTACATGTCCTATTACAACTGAATCCATTAGAATTGAGATTGCAATTTTTGAATAGTGCAATTATTACTCTTAACACTCAACAGTTTTCGAGACCCAAATTTTGGAGTCCTCCAATTTTTTTGATCAGTTCATACAAGCGTGTGATCTCCTTTCATAAATCTGAAAACATTGTATTACAAAATACCAGCAGTAAGTAAGATGTAACTGCACATACGTTTCCACAACATCGAAGGGCAGGCGTTTATTGTATGTTAGAGACGGATTTAGGATTGCGCAATGATATTCGATTATTCGGTTCCATTAGGCGAAAATATTCGATTCAAATCAAAAAATTATTCGATTTTGGACAGCCCTACTTCAAAGTATTCTACTTTTTCTATATTCAGAATTAAAAATAGTCCACAAAGTGCCTGGAAAACATACAAGTGCCCGATGTTCTGCTCAGTGGACATGTATACTAATACGGCACCTTTCGCAATACAAAATTGTGTAAAATCAATTCAAAATGGATAGAAAAAAAATTTCTATAAAGTACGATCAGTATAAATTAATAGAATTAAATCGTGTGATTTATAAAAGGGGCTCTCTCAGAATTACAATTGATACTGGATCAATTTTAGTTTGGTGTTGAGGAACTTGTATGACCTATAATGCCAGGGCTATTCTTTGTTAGCATCTGGCCATTTGTTTGTATTTCCGCTGGGGCTGAAGAACAGGAGCTGTAATTGGAGCCAAGCATACCAGTACCATAATACTGTAATAAATGGAAATACCAGAAATTTTATCAGCTCTAGGTCCTAACCATCAAATTAGTTTTTACATTTGTGTGTTTGTATTTTATAATCCGTCAATCCATATATTCTACCATTTTAGATAATACTTTTTCTTAACATTCAATTTCAAATATAAATTTCACATTAAATTTGTCGCATCTAACTTTTCATTTCAGAATTTAAAATTATTATACCGTAACTTGTTTCCCCGAATATAACAGGGTCCTATTTCAATTTTCTTTAGAAAAATACCACCAACTTAGGGCTTATATTTGGGGGATGTTTTACTAGGTACAAAATCACTAGTTTTCGAATATACAGATAGGCCTATACAAAATACAGAAATATGGAACCAATGAACATTTAAGTTACTTATCAATAACACGTTTTCATTTTATAAAAACAGCTCTCCCAGACCTGAATTTACGTATCGTACCCTAACAACTGAAGTGTATCAATTATTAAAATGTATCTGTAAGATTCTGTTGTCAGATTATTGTAGTCGTCTATTCGTTAGGTAGTTAGTGTTACCGTATCGTCTGTCTGTACTGTACCGGTACCTTTGTTTAGTCAAATTGAAGTAGCTTACATATCATATTATTTTTCTTTTTTTTAATGAAAAATACAAGATTAGATAAGTTTATTTCAACTCCATAAACAGCAGAAAGGCGATAAAATGATTGATAAAAACAAACTATTAAAATCTGATTATGAAATCACTGAATCAGGAGAGTAAACAAAACCTTGCACAAGGTTTAAAACGTACAGAATATAGGATGGAAGGTATTGCCAAAATAAGTGGTACTTGTTCACTCACCTAAAACTATTGAATCAAATCATTCACACTCGCACACACATACACACAACCATGGGGCATTAATAAAATTCGTAAAAAAGAGAAGCTTCAGATAAATTTGTATGGCAACCAAAAATAATAAAAATTGTTTGCCACACCATTTAATAATTTTATGAAAATTCCCAAACGAGAATGAACAGTATTTAGACTATTATAATAAAGGACAAAAAAAAAGATTTCGCCAAGATTATTATAATTGGAGTCAAATACCAAATTGCCCAACCAAAGTTGTGTGCATGAAGAGGTGGGCTAAACCTTTTCATTCATCAAAGACATGCCAAAATATTATCAAATTGTAATCCAGATTACATCAATTACCGGTATTAAATACTACTGCATACTGGTAACAGTTTAAGTATAGATAATTAGATAAAATAATATCAAAAAGAATTACCAACAGTAGTCTACATTATCAATATTATTTATCAAATAGTATCCTCTATGTAGCCCTGACTACGATTCTAATACTCTCTGCGGTTTGACGATTATTGCGGAACACATCAGTTCGGAAACAACATACCAGAATTAAGCCACACTGCCTCAAAACGTCATCTACCGTACCTAGGAAAATCCCCGACAGGGTACTGGAAACGACGTCGCAATGAAACAACGGAATGGTGAAATTTAACTTGACTTACTATGTTAGTTACGAAGGAGTCAATAAAACGATCCGATTTAAATTTGATGGTGGTTCCAACTGCCAAGGTTGTGTTTCTAGCAAAAATGGAACTTCAGACAAACGTTGTGTGTGACATATACCAAACAGTACCGGCTGCCGCAGAGTTCTCCTTAATATGTTTAAAAAAAAAAATTAAATGAGCTGGTTATCAGTTTTTATTTCTTTGCTTTTATCAAAAGTTTTATCGTCTCTTATGCCAATGACATGAAACATGTCAATGGTTATGCTGATTGCTGAATAGGTATGGAGTCAAAATACTGATATGTTTTTATAGTTCGTTTAAATTCCATGTGTCTTTGAGCTGAAAGAAAAAGAGAACTCGAATATGATTGTTTGGATTTCCATACATTAACTCAGAACGAGCAAACCCTTGAAACTGGAGGAAAACAACTCGCATCGGTAATAGACACCATTATGAGGCAACAACACAAAGAGTTGGAAAGTGAGGTAAACAACTTGTTCTGTATAAATCTATATAAATAAACTCGAGGTCATTTTCTCCCTCTCTGTTTTTCTCTTATTTATTGTTCTTTTTCGAAGCACGTTTCTCTTGTCTTTTACAATTGGTTTACCACTGACGAGACTACGACCAGTTTTCATTGGCCCGGTAAATTCGACAAGGGTGTGATAGGATTATAACTCGCAATAACTGTTAAAACGTAGCGAGTAACGACCCTCACCGAGAATACAGGATGCTCAAAATTTGTAATCCGTCTTCATTTCGAATATATATTTATAGTTCGTAATTGATGTTTGTCTAACATGGTTATTCGCGAGCTAACATGACTGCAGGTGCAAATATCCGCGAGTAAAGATGTACATGATACAAATGAGCTTGGGTACAAATGTACGTAGGTAAAAATGTCCTTTCATGGAAATGTAGGCCTACCTGGGAGCAAATGTCCGTACGTGCAAACGTCCATGGATGCAAATGTGTATGTGTATGCAAATGTACATGATACAAATGAGCGTGGGTACAAATGTACCTAGGTAAAAATGTCCTTTCATGGAAATGTAGGCCTACCCGGGAACAAATGTCCGTACGTGCATACGTCCATGAATGCAAATGTTCGTGAGTGCAAATGTCTACGGGCGCAATCTATATGCAAGTGCTAAAACTAATAGGTGGAAATTTAAGGGTGCAAATGTCGGTGAGTAGGCTACAAAAGTATTCAGGTGCAAGTGTTCTGGGTGCAGTTAACGGATGCAAATGTACGTAGGTGCCAAGGTGCTATCACCATTTCAGGTATGAATCCTGAGCGAGTATTATAAGGAAATCGAAATGAATATAATTGGTTTTCAGAACACTTGACGTTTCATGATGACACCATTTTTGATTACTAGACTAGCTAGAGGGACTTCGCAATTTATGTGAAAAAAAAACATTTTGGCTGTGTTGCAATATCGTGCGCTCATCAACGTAATTCATATCTTACTTTTCTTGCTAAACAGCACCGTATGTATCTGTTGAACTCCTTTTTTGGAAAGTGCGATTCGATACTTCTTGTTTTTGTCGCCCTGGATGTATGTTTCTTTCCTGTCTCCGGACTTCTGTTACTTTTGAGCGCTTTTCGACATAGTTAGCATTATAACGTGGTTAATACCTAACCGTTCGAATGCTAAAATCTCTTCAACTGAAATTCTTATTTGACAATCTCGCAGAACTTGATATTGGCTACGATTGCGAACAATTTCGTATGGTTTCAATATTTCGTTGGAGTATGTTTTTTTTTATGGTTCCAACAAAGTGGAATTTTCAATAATTAAATATTTAATAAGACGAGAATATCGGTCGGAGACCGAAGACTTATCGATCGAAACTGCGGTTTCTATTCATGACTCTATAGTGACACCGCGTATACCATCACTAATTAATTAATAACTTGCTAACTATACGAATAATTAATCCAAAATTAATAAGCTTCTGGTCCGAGATATGATGAATGCACATGCAAAATTTGAAGCAGATTCAACCACGTCTTCGTGAGATATCGCGTGCATCTAACAGCCAGACAGACAGACAAATACCTATCAACATACTTAACGATTAAAATAGATAAGTAATAAGTATATATATACATTAACAACAGCATCATCAATCTTATGCATTTTCATTAAATCCATGGTGTTCCGTTGTTCATCGAGTTGATTTCACAGTTTAATTTTAATTAGTTATTTTTAATTAAACGGGAAACAGTTGCTTCTCCATAAATGT